TATAAAATATTAGGCTGTATGGTATGTTGTTACATTTGCCTTTCCAGTTGGAAAAATACAACAACTACAACTACTGACATTTGACAAGTACTTAATTTCAATAGTAGTTTGACGTCACTGCCGTTGCATACCTGCGTGACGTTCTGTAAAAATTTTACCCTCATGCGCCTAAAGAAGTTTCACTTCAATAACTGAGAACGAATCACGCACGGTCATTCGGCCCCAATTTAGGATTCCCTGTGTTATGGGTATCGGAGACATACATACTTATATACATATGAGTCGTCTATCATCAAAGGTGGCAATCTGTGCATTTGGACAAATTTTTTTTATTGATATGTCAATTCAGATTGTGTTAAATATAATCGTCTCCTTCAAAGAATACGGTTCAAAACCTGCATTAAATAAAGGTTAATAGTTAACCTGTTATTTATTTAAGATATCGTTCCGAAGAGTTTTGTGACTGCCAATGGAATACAAAGTCAATAATTCGTTTTTCTGATTTACCAATCATTGTCCAAAAGTCAGATTGCCGGCTTTGATAATAGTCGACTCATATGTGTGATGCGTTTTGTTGCTTTAGACAGGTAAGTAGATATAAGAGATTCAAGCGTCTCCTAAGGTTAATCCGAGCTCGGCCAGCTGTCCCCGGTGAAATTGGATAGGCGTTAGAACCACAAGAAGTACCTATACTCAAAAACATAATAATCAAGTGACTGTTCTTTATCGAAAACCAGAATCAGCGACTCTCAAACTTTTTCGCTGTATCCATTTACAGGGAATCTTAAATTTGAGTACCCAAACCTCAGTACCTCAGTAGAGATTTATCACGCGCTTCTTTTTTTTTTTTTTTTTAGGATTGAAAGTTTACTGGTGGCCCGAAGGCCTTTCCAGTTTCACCAGGACAGGTGGGCGAGCAAAGGCTCAGCCAAGAGGGGTGGGATTTGCTAACAACTGCCCGAGCGCCTCCGAAGGAGACCTAACAACTCAAGAGCAATTGTTTCGCGAATGAATCTACTACCGGATCGGAATCGCGACCCGCTGAGAAGATCCGGCGAGAAACTCAGCGGGCTGATGCATGGGTTAGGTTGCACGTCGACCTCTTTGTCGAGTTCGACGAGTACGGTTACCGGGGTCCCTAAGCCTGCCCCTAGTATTAGAGCTGAAGGCATCTAATGCAAAGGTTATTGGATCTGATGGATCCGTAAGGACGTGTCTAGGGCGTCGACGGTGACTGGCTCCTGCATGATCAGGATTCGGGGAGTAGTCAGCGGCGGCAACGATAAGGCGATTATCATGACGCATAGCCTTATCGAAGTATCGTTCCGACGCTGACTTCATGTATTTCCGAATTGATTCGAGGCCCAGGTCGTCGTGTAGGTCAACGTTCCTCACGAACCACGGAGCCCCGACAGCTAACCTGCAAAAGCGGGATTGTAGGGATTGGAGGGTGTCTATGTGTGTGCGGGCCGCGTGAGCGAACACCACACTCGCGTAAGTCATGACGGGCCTTATGCAAGTTTTGTAAAGTGTCACCTTGTTCCGAAGGGACATTTTACTCCGCTTACAGATCATGGGGTAGAGTCTACCGAGAATAAACGCGGCACGGTCACGGACTGATTTTATATGCGGGCGGAATGTCATCGATGCATCCAGGGTAACGCCCAGGTACTTGACCTTCCTGGCCCAGGGTATGGGTTGTCTAAAGAGAGTAATCGGGGGTGTGAGATTCCTCCTCCTAATCCGGGAGGAAATCCGTGTGGAGCTTCCCCTCTGAAATAGCACCGCAGTACTTTTCGCTGGGTTGATGTCTATGCGCCATTTTCGGAACCACTGTCCTAGGGCTAGGGCTGCGCTCTGAAGCTTCTTCGCGATTAGGGACTTATTTCTACTAGAATAGTAAACAGTCGTGTCGTCGGCGAATAAAGCTAAATGGGTCGGCGGCGACCGGGCGCGCTTCTATGCTATTACCTTCTTTATTGCTTAGATGGGTGGATGAGCTCACAGCCCACATGATGTTAGGTGGTTACTGGAGCCTATTGACATGTACGACGTAAATGCGTTACCCACCTTGAGATATAAGTTCTAAGATGTCAAGTATAGTTACAATACAATACATTACAGCTTACACCAATACGAAGACAACAATATGACATGTCCTTGTTCAAACGAAGCTCGTTGAGGGTACTTAACTGTAGGCAGCCGCTCGACTCTGCCCCAGGCGTTGCTGACGTCCATGGGCGACGGTAACCACTCACCATTAGATGGGCCGTATGCTCGTCTGCCTACAAGGGCAATAAAACAAAAAATAAATAAAAAACGCCCGATTAAATTAATAAATTTTGATTCTCGTTAAAGCTTATCCACTGTAATACTAAACAAAGCTCTTGTATGAATTTCGCCTGCCCACAGCTAGGTGCGGCGTGAAGATTATTCTAATCGCACGGTGTCTATACGTCCGTTAGCGCATACCACGGCTACGGCCGTGAGAAAGGACATCCACGTCGTACATATGAATTAGGTAATGGTCAACTATAGGGCTTGGTGTTGAGGGGAGCGTGTCGGATCGGAGTCCGTATGGAAAATTGTGCTAAATGAAATAATAACCTGTTTTTTCTTTTTGGGCAAAATGCCGAACCTCTTACGAGGTTCCCGCGTTTAGGGGGTGCGTGGGGTATGTGGGTCTGGATGGTCCGCAGATGTTGGCAGCGGATCGTGGGCCGAATAGGTGAAATTTAGGACTAAACGACTCCCCTGCATTCTCACATCGACGTCCGATCTCCGTCCGGGGTTAGAGCAAGGGGTTTCCCGCGGTCAGCACTTCAACAAGACTCGTGGTGCCACCCCGAGGACGCCGATGGATCGCCTTGTATTACTGGTGGTAGGACCTCTTGTAAGTCCGCACGGGTACGATGACCGGTGCTTGAGGTATCTAAAAGCACCGTTAGTGGATCGTAAGGATCCGAAATGGCGTGTTTTGGGTGACATCGACTGCTTACCATCCGGTCCGCAGGATCGGGAACGTAGTTACCGGTGGCCACGATGAGAGGATTCTCGTGTCGTGCCGCTTTCTCGAAATGGCGCACTGATGCCGACTGTAGATACTTACTGATGGACTCTAGGTACATGTCGTCGTGGGAGTCTATATTTCGGATGATTGAGCGAGAGTTATTTTAAATTGGTCAGCGTCTTAAATCCGCTCCGCTTATGACTGTGACCTGATGGCAGACCGCTGTCGGCCGTGAGTGCGCGCACGCGTTCGTCGCACAAACTGACAATACATAATATTCTCACTTTGTATTCCTTTTGTATGGTACTTGTTTTGAGTTAAGCGTTTTCTTATGTCCATTATGAATGACCTCAAAGAACTGACTTGAGGTTGTGTGTAATGGCTCTTCAGAACGAGTAGCTTGTTTTAGAAGAGGAAAATTCGTCATTTGGAGTTTGCTGGAGCTTTGAAGGACTGATATGAGGTCTTTGCAACGGTATTCTTTAGTGCAAGAATAGCATTAAATCGCAATAAAGATTTTACATTTTGAACCTTCATCATATTAGCAGCAAGAACTAATATAGATAAGTCTTCTGCCAATGTTATCCAGAAATGTTAGCAATATAGTATACGGTAGTATGCAGTTGGAACAGCGCCCCTAGCGGCAAACGTAGGTTCCAACTCCATACAAATTTGAGTTAACTTTTAGGTTATCGAGAACGCTAAAAAGCTCGCACTAAGCACACAGTTCACTGACAAACCAACTTAGATTTCATGTTAACTTTATTATCATTACTAGTGGTCGCCAAATGGTCGAAACTCGACCATAATTAATTTAAATTATTATGGTTCTATTATCAAGGGGTATACTTCTGCAGTCACAGATTTCGCCAGGAGTACAACTGTAGAAAAACAAAATTAATCTATTGTTAATTTGACCACAGACTTTAACAATAAACAAAAGAGTACATACTAGCCCACTGAGCTTCTCGCCGGATCTTCTCAGTGGGTAGCGTTTCCGATCCGGCGGTAGATTTTGTGAAGCACTGCTCTTGCTAGGGTCAGTGCTAGCAACACTCCGGTTTGAGCCCCGTGGGCTCACATGTTAGGGCGAAGCTGAAATAGCCTCTCAAGGCTATCAGCATAGGTAGGAAAAAAAAGTATATACTCGTATGTATGTGTTGTGTCAAATACATGCTGCAAAATATATATATATATATATTAGCATTCTGCACTCCTTCTCTATATTCTCTATAAGTGTGGGAAATTTCATACTTCTCCGTTAGCGCAATTTTTGTAAAAAGGGGTACAAAGTTTTTGCTTCACGCATTAATGTATAGACAAGCGCAAAAGCTTGGGAACCAATTGCTCTGGAACAGAGACCTAAGCCCCAGGAGTAGACGACCGATCAGCGCTTTTCAACTTTTCAACTTTTTAAACTTTACGAATGGAAGGATGCTTTGTGTTCAACAAAAACCAATAATCAATCAATGCCACAAAATTTTCCGAATTTATTAATTAATTCTCAGTATCTTCGGATTCGTCTTTCCCAAATTCCACTAGATATTCCGGCGCCTTAGTAAAAGAAATCGACATAATTACTTCAGTGCGCCCCGTAGGGCACCGGTGACCTACACGCCAGTCAACGTGTTATGAACCTTATCGTGTTAACAATAGGCTCCATTTACCAATTGTATCTGATGATACAATGAAATCCCTTTGATTTTTGTTAAGAGACTTTATTTTATATTTGTACAATAATTTGTTTAGAGATGTTTAGTTTTGTATTTTTGATAAATTAAATGAAGTAGGTATACCTATGTGTAAAGAAGCAAGAAAATTTGTTAAATTGAATGAAGTACGTAGGTAAAGAAGCGGGAATTATTCCCTCGTAAAAAAATTTAAGAGACAGATTATATTTAAATTACAGAGTAGTTTTCTTAATACAGATTATAGACGACACGCAGATACGGCAAAGGCGTTAACACCAATTTTGTTTTAAAACTTTCAGATGCACTGTCGTTCTGTACAACGTGAGAAAGAACCGACAGTCGCACGTTTTGAATTCGTCCCGGAAGAGCGTCACCTGCGTCTCGTTCTCCCCGGACGGGCGGTACCTCGCCACCGGGGAATGTGGACACGCGCCCGCCGTCCGGGTATGGGACCTCCAGGTACGGAACAATATAGCGCGATCTAGTTAAGTTTTTATTTATATTTTATTGCATAGTTGGGTGGATGAGCTCACAGCCCAGCTAGTGTTAAGTGGCTACCAGAGCCCATAGACAACTACAACGTAAATATCGCCACCCACCTTGAGTTATAATTTCTAAGATCTCAAGTATAGTTACAACGGCTGCTCCGCCCTTAAAACCGAAACGCATTACTGCTTCACGGCTGAAATAAGCAGGGCAGTGGTACTTCCCGTGTGGACCCATAAGACGTCCTACCACCAGTAATTACGCAAATTATAGTTTTGTTTGATTTTTATTACACAGTTTTATTCCTTCACCGTGGAAGTCAATCGTGAACATTTGTTAAGTACGTATTTCATTAGTAAAATTGGTACCTGCCTGTGGGATTCGAACACCGATGCATCGCTACATACGAATGCACCGGACGTCTTATCCTTTAGGCCACGACGACTTAATAAAGTTTCGTTATGACGATATGTGTGATTAGTGCGAGTTTTTTATCGTTCGAAATTGGAACAGCGCCCCTAGCGGCCAAAGTAGGCAAACGTTCCAACTCCATACAATTTAGAGTTAACTTTTACGCTATCGAGAACGTTAAAAAACTCGCACTAAGCACACTCAGGAAAACAAAGCACGTATTTCTAGGAAATAAAAAAAATAATAATCAAATACACAACCCCATTTAGCGGATGAGTGTGAAAAGTTAATAATTTTCTAAATTTTCCCAGGATCCTACAGCTTCCGGCGCTGTACAGATCGCGGAGTTCCCAGGACACACGCACGGAGTCAGCTGCGTGGTCAGTACATAACTAATACTGTTCTTAAACATATTTTTTTTAATTGCAAGAAATTCCCTACCTATTTGCTGGTAGTCTAAGGGGCTATACTTGCAACATGCGAATGGGTAGATGAGCTCACGGGCTTAACCTGAGAGAGTGCTAACACCAGCTTTAGAAAGGAACCTCTGGGTCTGCAGAGGACTGCACTTCTCTCTGTATTTTGTACCGTATGTTCCATGGGGAGTGCACTGAGGAATTGTTTGAGATGATTCCATCATCTCGTTTTTACCATTGCACCACCCGCCACCGGAGTAGAGTTCATCCATACTACCTGGAGCCACTGCGGTTAAAGCTAAAACTTACTGACCTAGTTTGATGATAATACAGTAATTAGAAGTTTTGTTAGTTAAAAGTCTCGTGTTTACCACTGCAGTAGGAGTAGAGTTCATCATACTACCTGGAGTCACTGCGGTCATCCACAGTGCGTTTCCAGAGATATTTATTGCCACGTATCATCCGGCTTTGGAATGAGCTCCCCTCCACGGTGTTTCTCCAGCGCTATGACATGTCCTTCTTCAAACGAGGCTTGTTGAGTGGAGAGTACTTAACGGTAGACAGTGGCTTGGTTCTGCCCCTGGTAATGCTGAATGATCCATGGGCGACGCTAACGACTCACCGTCAGGTGGGCCGTGTGCTCGTCTGTCCACAAGGGCAATAAAAAAAATAAAAAAACCACCCATCACGCCCTTTTCATGGGATACTGCAAACACTGACCTGTGAGCTTAGTGCGAGATTTTTAACGTTCTCGATAGCGTAAAAGTTAACTCAAATTTGTATGGAGTTGGAACAGCGCCCCTAGCGGCAAACAGGGAAGCGTTCTAACTCCATACAAATTTTAAACCAGACCCAGACGAAAATTTCAAATTTGTTAATTTTGCGATTATGACCTCTTTCTTCTATTTTCAGGCATTCTCCACGTCGTCGAAATACCTAGTATCCGTTGGCTCTCAACACGACATGATCGTGAACGTCTGGGACTGGAGAGCGAACCTCAAGCTGGCCAGCAATAAGGTGACAATATCATATACATTGACATTGTCGGCTAGTCCGGCTCAACGACGAAGCATTCTATATCCAATGGGTACAAAGACAGCAGTCCGTGGAATTGCGTTAATCTAGATAGTTTTTCGTTGTATAAGTAACCCTACTATAATACAGTATTTTGCACTATGAGCAGACAACGTATGGGAATAATCGAAATTTCATTGCTTATTTTTTATGTATAATACATAACAAAATAGATACAGGCATGGTTTTTTTTTTCTTAGGCGGCTGGACGAGCTCACAGCCCACATGGTTTTAAGTGGTTACAGGAGCCCATAGACATCTAAAACGTAAATGCGCCACCCACCTCGAGATATAAGTATTAAGGTCTCAAGTATAGTTACAAAGGTTGTCCTTCAAACCGAAAAGCATTACTGCTTCACGACAGAAATAGGCAGGGTGGTGGTACCTATCCGCGCGGACTCACAAGAGTTCCTACCCCCTGTTAAAGTATCAGCCGTGAAGTAGTAATGCGTTTCAGTTTGAAGGCTAGTGGGTTGTACTATAGAACTGAGTCTTAGAACGCAAATATCAAAATAAACCAAACCTTTACACATTCTTAAACGACGAACGTATCTACCGTGTTATAGGAGGGTTGCCTGAATTCATAATTCTGTCAAGGGAGTGCATCGTGCCAGAAATAGTCAGGGGGTCCACGGTACGACGTCATGGTGTTTTGTGACAATTCGTTTAGTGGGTAGGGTCCTGAAAACATCCTTGAGCCCGCGGTTTCGCAGTCGCGGACCAGTCCCACAAAACCCTCTCTCTAGCTGCGGGGACCTCATAGGAGGTTTGAAAACCGCGGACCGAAAAAAGGGGTAGTTTGTGACGCGACCTTCTGGTTTCCAGGTGTCGTCGCGCGTTAAGGCCGTCAGCTTCGCGGAGAACGGCAACTACTTCGTCACGGTCGGCTTCAGGCACGTCAAGTTCTGGTATCTGGAATATTCGAGAAACGCTAAAGTGAGTTTGGTTGGTTAAGCGCTTTTGGCTTGTTGGTCTTAACATAAAAGTTTTTTGAAGTGAAAACTTCTTTAGAATCGTTGTGATTTCAAACCGGATGCAACGGAAAAAACGACAGGTAAGAGACACAAATACAAAAATGTGTAGGATGAAGGCAGCAAAGAATGAGACAGAAATATACATACTATTTAATACAGCGCCATCTGTGAGATTTTTTAATACTAACGTGTGTATGAAAGCTCTTGTAGTGAATTTTAATTTAGGATTATACGTGAAATTAAAATATCAATTCACAGAGGGCGCTACCTTACAATTATTTACTAATGACAAAATTTTACATATACTTAAGACGTTTNTAATACAGCGCCATCTGTGAGATTTTTTAATACTAACGTGTGTATGAAAGCTCTTGTAGTGAATTTTAATTTAGGATTATACGTGAAATTAAAATATCAATTCACAGAGGGCGCTACCTTACAATTATTTACTAATGACAAAATTTTACATATACTTAAGACGTTTAGGATAATTGTATTTTAATTTTGGAAGTTTTCACTTCTACCACGTGTGAATTGCACACATGTATTTTGGTTTTGCTTGTTTTTTTGGTCGTGGCAAGTACCACTTTCGGAATTTGGACGTGGAGTAGACCAAAGCTTATCCGAGAGTGGATGGAGTAATTCCGAATGGATTGGGATCGAAAGGCATGCCTAGATAGCATTTATCCTCAATAGTATGCCTAGGGTAATTACAGTGTGAATTAATATTGTAGAATCACTCGATTCAATTCACTAATATATTAGCGATTGACCTCTAGACATGGAGGGTAAAGATAAGGAGCGCATTCTTGTATAGAGGACAAGTTGAAAAAGTGTCCGTCTGTAAAAAGCAAGTTGGTGTTGGAAGTCTCACCGAAATAGCGCTAGTGTAGGAAGTGGAAATTATATGAATATAGCAGTTTCAAGCAGAGCGAAGTGTGGCCGAGTTGATAAATTGTAATAATTTCCGTGACTTGTGTAATTAAAAAATATGCAATATTTAAAATCTTTACTGTTAATTATTATTTACGTAGGAATTGTTTCTTTTCTTCTTAATTTAGTATCCTACTGTAATAGTTTATGGGGCTGTTCTTAAAATACTTCCACTTGCTACTGTGGCGCCATCTAGTTGGCTCGTTTTTAGCGGACACTTTTATACACTAAGATGGTGCTTCTTACTTCTATCCTCCATGTCTCTAGATACAACATGTTGCGGAAATACAGCATGCTGTTTTTTTTCTTCGAATTCTCAATTATTATTTCATTTGGTAAAAGTTTTTTTAAAGCTGTTGAAGATTAAACGAGCTTGCTATCCACTGGATGGTAAGTGGTTATCACCGCCCGTGGACTCCAGCAATGTTAGGTCACCGACCTCGTCGAAAACTACAGGATGTGTAAAAAATTATGAAATGAAAAATGTTGATTATGTGCTTAAGTATTTTTTTTGTTGTTAGACTTTTTATCGCTTAGACGAGTGAACGAGCTCACGGTGCGCCTGGTGTTAAATGATACCATAGCCCATAGACATTACCCCAACATGTGGTCCAAATTTTAATTTGGTAAAATGGGCGGTGGTATCTACCCTTGTGGGCGCTCAAGACGTCCTACCACAAGAAAATACACATATTAAGATATCGCGGTTTTTGATATTTGTTAAACGATGTTATTCCCTTGCCGTGGAAGTGAACGGACCTTTTTTAAGCACGTATTTCATCAGTACAATTGTGTAGCTGCCTGCGGGATTCGAACCCGGCATGGTCTCATCCCTCGATACGAACGCACCAGCCGTCTTTTCTTTTAGGCCGCGAGTCTCTCCCTCTCTCTTTTTCTCTCGCCCCCCTCTCTTTCGCTCCCTCCCTTCCTCTCCCCCTCTCTCTTTCGCTCCCTACCTCCCTCTGCCATCTCTCTTTCGCTCCCTACCTCCCTCTCCCACCTCTCTTTCGCTCCCTCGCTCCCTCTCCCCTTTCTTGTTCGCTTCCTCCCTCCCTATCTATCTCTGTCTCTCTCTCTCTCTCTCTCTAGCTAATTGTTTAGTTATGAACGAAAAATACTCGTGTAACTTTAACAATTCTGCTGTTCAGTTCAAAGAGCCGGTTCCGTTGATGGGCAGATCAGCGATACTCGGCGAGCAGAAGGACAATGAGTTCTGCGACGTGGTCTGCGGCCGGGGCGAGTCCGCGGACAGCACCTACGCGATCACGAGGGGCGGCCTGCTCTGCGAGTTCAACAGCAGACGGTTGCTGGACAAGTGGGTCGAGCTCAGGGTGAGTCATCCCTCACTTCCAGAAATAGAGTGGGTTATAGAAATACTTCATTTTTGAAATTGGTTTTTTATTGTTTGGCTGTGTGGTGTCAGCGTAGAGTAGCGTCATTTAATCTTCTCGTGCGTGACATGAGGGGGCTGTGGGATCTGGAGAAGGGGCAGCAGCGTACCATCAATCATTACTGGTGGCAGTATTGTAAATCGCCACTTCTCCGGGTTTGTGGTGAGCCTGGTACACTCGTGCAAACAACCGCCAACTGCCGACTTGGCTTGGTCGGTCCATCGCATGGGCGACCTCCCACGCGGTCTGGTGGCGATTGCTCGTGAGGCACATAACATCTGCCCACAGCAATGATACTGAATGACTACCACGACCGCTCCGACAAGAGTGATACGACAAAAGGAAAAAGTATTGTAAATGACGATATGACTGTCCCCCCTTATTTCTGCCGCGAAACAATCATGCATTCTGATTGGTGGGTGGGTAGTGAACATATAAGTTCCAAAGTGGCTGCGGACACGTGGTGAAGTCACGTAACTCCAGGAGCGTCACAGACAGTTTTATTTTATTTTTATTGCTTAGATGGGTGGAAGAGTTCAGGGCCCACCTGGTATTAGTTGGTTAAAGGAGCCCATAGACATCTGCAACGTAAATGCCGCCATTCACTTTGAGATAAGAGTTCTAAGGTCTCAGTATAGTTACAACGGCTGCCCCGCCCTTCCAACCGAAACGCATTACTGCTTCACGGCAGAAATAGGCGGGGTGGTGGTACCTATCCGCGCAAGAGGTCCTACCACCAGTACAAGAGTGTCATCTAACGGTCTCTCCGTCGACTCCAGACGCAGTCTGCCAACTGTATGGCGGTGGGCGCTAATTTCATATTTGTGGGATGCGCCGAGGGCATAGTCCGGTGCTTCGCCCCCGACACGCTCCAGTACATCACGACGCTGCCGAGGACGCACTACCTCGGCGTCGACGTGGCGCAGGGCACCAACATCAGGTGAATATTGCTTGCTCCATCAACTGTTGTACTGCTGAGTTATACATACATTTATATGTAGCGTGTGCATAGTGCACCTGCGGCTTGGCCTGTGTGGTCAAGGATCTATGTCTTTAGTGCGAGTTTTTTAATGTTCTCGATAGCGTTTGCCTACGTTTGCGTACGTTTGCCGCTAGGGGCGCTGTTCCAACTGCATACAAATTTGAGTTAACTTTTACGCTATCGAGAACGTTATATAACTCGCACTAAGCACGCAGTGTCATTATAGCTTTCCGCGGTAATGAGATTTTGGAATATTAAGTAACCTATTTCGCTCTCCAAATCTAATACTAGGAAAAAAAAAAAAAATTTGTTTCAAGCGAAATTTTTTGTAACTTTACAAGGATAGCAATTTAAAAATTAATAGTAAGAAGAAATGTCATAACCAGAAACTTAAGTGAAGTTCAACTATAAACATGTTGTTGATGGTAAGACCAAATAAAACGGACCTTTAATTACAAAGATAAATGCCGCGTGTTAAGAGGAGTAGTTTTCATATAAGAATTTGACGGTAGTCACGAAAAAATTGTACAATGAAGTGGAATTTATGCAAGATTGAATGGTGAACAGAGTTTGACGCGGTCGGCCCGTGTAATAAATGAAATAGAAATCATCTAGGCTGTGGGCTCACCTGCATACAGTAGCTATAAAAAATTACTTAAGCCTTTGACATAACCTTTGCCGTCACTGTACCCTATATAGGGCTCTCTGTCTGTCAAACTACCCGTGCGGACTAACAAGCCATCCTACCACCAGTAAAAAAAAGTGTGTGTGTCCGCTCCGACGCACGACTGGAGTTTACTGGATATAAAAAATTAAACGAAACAATACGAGAAATAGTTCTATATTACGACAACACGATACACTACAGATTATTAACAAATTAACGAGACACAAAACAAACGACTAACAAATATATGAAAATACAATAATGAGAGAAACGCGCGATCAGTACGAGGCTTTGTGGCGGACTGCCGGCGCAGCAGCCCGGCGTCACCTGCGATAACGCGGCCGCGCGTTGGCTCCTGATTGGCGCGCGCACGCATCACGCAATCAGGAGCCAATCAGGCGCATAACGCATTTCGTGTGACATGCTAGTACGATTTTGGTCCCCATAATTTTCATACCCCGGGCCTATATATGTAAATCGATTCTAAAGGAGTAAACTCCAAAAATGCATGGTGTAAGCTGGTGAGTGTACCGGACCGTCTGCTTGCAGCCACATGTTCTCGCAGCCGCCGCGCGCGCGATACCCGGACGCGACGGCGCTGGCGTACGACGAGCGCGCCCACCGGCTCACGTGCGTCTACAACGACCATAGTCTGTACGTGTGGGACGTGCGCGACATCCGACGGGTGAGTGCGGCGCACATTGTCCGTCTTATGTCTAACTTACAGACAGCTGTGCCTGTTAAGCGAATTTTGACGGTAATCACAAAATTAATAATAATGAAGGTCACTATTTAATGTTCAATGCGGGTAGTAAGTTTTTAATTTGGCAAAGAGAGAGATAGATAACTAGAAGCGTGAACAACATATTGCCTTAAGCATATCTATAGATATGCATAGATATGCATATCTTAAGATTTGTCTTGTGGCTTTTTTTAATGGTTTTCTAAAGTTTAAAGCTTAGAGCTTAAATGTTAAAAGTTAACCCTTGAATGGGAAGGTATTTGAAATAAACATTTCAAATAAAATTAGTTTGGATTTTAAACATATCTCATGCTTTTGTCGTCTAGTGCATTTTCTCATCAGTCATATGTGGCGAACCGATCTAAATGGACGCACAGTCATCCTTTAAGACAGGCATTAATTTTGACAGTCTAGAGTTGGTACCAATAATTTTGACAGTCTCGGGTTGGAACCATTAATTTTGACTTGGCTTCGTTTTGGTTATAACTCGTCGCCCGTGGGCCGCAGGTGGGCAAGTCGCACTCGGCGCTGTACCACTCGGCGTGCATCTGGGGCGTGGAGGTGTCCGGGGACGGCACGCTGTTGACCTGCTCCAGCGACGACACCGTGCGCATGTGGGGCCTGGAGCCGCGCGCGAGGAACATCTACAGCAACGTGAGTGGACGGACTCCCGGACCTCGCGGAGACGGTGGAAGGGTTCCACCTCTTAGAGGCGGTGGAGAGGACGGTCAAGGGTTCCACCTCTTAGAGACAGTGGAGAGGACGGTCAAGGGTTCCACCTCTTAGAGACAGTGGAGAGGACGGTCAAGGGTTCCACCTCTTAGAGACGGTGGAGAGAACGGTCAAGGGTTCCACCTCTTAGAGACGGTGGAGAGGACGGTCAAGGGTTCCACCTCTTAGAGACGGTGGAGAGGACGGTTAATGGTTCCACCTCTTAGAGACGGTGGAGAGGACGCTCAAAGATGCCGTTGTTAAAAGCAGCGACCGTGGTCTTCGTGGAAGTTGTAATAGCCGTCTCGGTCTTCATGGTCGGTGCTGCTGACCAGCGGTCTTCGACAGGAATAGCTTCCGAGACAATATTCTTTCTTTGTTTTCTTAATGCCCTTGTCGACAGACGAGCATACCGCCCACCTGATGGTGAGTGGTTATCGTCGCCCATGGACTTCAGCAATGCCAGGAGCAGAGCCAAATCACTGTCTACCGCTTAATACTCTCCACAAGCCTCGTTTGAAGAAGGACATGTCATAGAGCTCGAGAAACACCGTGGAGGGGAGCTCATTCCAAAGCCGGATGGTACGTGGCAAAAAAGATTTCTGGAAACGCACTGTGGATGACCGCAGAGGCTCCAGGTAGTATGGATGAACTCTACTCTGGTTTCTTAGTAAATGATATGAGCTGGCACCGTCCTATATGAAAAAGCATAGTGAGCACGTTTTCTCAAAGATACCGTCTGAATTACAGGAGCTTAATAAAATAGTGTACATAGACCCGGAGCTGAAGTTCCTGAAGGACGTGGACCTGACTGCCTCCAGCGAGAAGGACAAGTCCAAGTCGTACGACGACAAGACCGGCGTCAGGTGAGTCGCGCCGCCACGCGCTGCCGTTGTGGGCGGACCAGCCCGTGGTCCTCCTGGTCACCGCTAAGTGAGGCAGTTCTTCCCATCCCATACGACTAATGTGCTGTAAACACTAACACTCAGAACTCTTGTCTCAAGCCGGGCGGTGTTTAATCTGACTTTCATTCTTATTCTAAATGGTCACGGATCCTATTAAGTCGCCGCTTATTTTGGCCCCTAATGACGTCACATGTTAGGGCGACGCGGCCTCCTCCTTCTGCGTCGATAATCCTCAATGCTGAGAGTTTTGGCTTCCTTTAATAGCTTTCTCCTAGATTATCCTGCGCCATATCCTCGGCTGTGTGGATAGCAATGTGGACTGAAGTGTTGAAAGTGTGGCGTATCTGGTCGAACCAGCGCATTGGATTTCTCTTCTCGACGAACCCGTCGCATGCGACGAAGGACTCGCCGAGCAAATTAACCCACAGACACAACAGCCCACTGAGATTCTTGTCGGATCTTCTCATTGGGTCCCGATTCCGATCCGGTGGTAGATTCAGCGAAGCGTTGCTCTTGCTAGGGCCAGTGTTAGCAATGACATAACTCCTCAAGTATTATCAGCTTAGGTAGGAAAAAAAGGACTTCTGCCTTTGCGTCTTCTTGCGGCCTATCTTGCCTGTTACCAGCAGCTTCTCTCGATTCCCCAAAGAGCTCGGAGCTCGTTCGTGCAGTAGAGGGTAAGGATGGGCGCGGGTGTCGGCAGGTGCGTGGCGGCGTCCGGGGACGGCGCGCACGTGGCGTGCGGGGACCGCGCCGGCAACGTGTGGGTGGTGTCGGCGGGCGGCGCGCTGCTGCACACGCTGGAGGCGCACGACGCGGAGGTGCTGGCGCTGCAGTACGCCGCGCGCCCGCGCCTGCTCGCCTCCGCCTCGCGGGACCGACTCGTGCACGTCTTCGACGTCGACAAGGTACCGGCACCGGGGCCCCCTACACGTGACCCCAAGATCAGCGGCGATATCGGGACGAGACTTTTTGTCAAGAACGCGAAGAGTGAAGTTGTGTGATTTGTTTTATTTTGTCTATTTAGTGTTTCTTCGGGTTTAAATGTGTAATAACGGTGGTTTATTAACTGTTTAATATAACTGTGAAAGTGCATACATGTGAGAAAATAAAACAAAGCTTAATTTAATCTCAATTAATGTCTCAACTTAATCATCTTCATTTCACTTCACTTCATATTTATAATTTTACATAAAAAGTTACCAGCCCATAAATCACTTTAAAAAAAGGGATGATAATTGTCCCTAAATCGTGGGCTCGCCCGCAGCGATTTTAGAGCTTAGGGTAAATAATAAAAATCGGGATGAGCTTGAATCAAGCGGGACGAAATTAAATGAAATGAGATGAGATGATATGTGATGAAATATACTCTCATTAAAATGGTGGTCATTCACTGAGAATTTTTCAGTGTACTTTTTGGAGGATCCCGAGAAGTTACGTCCAGCGGCTTTGTTTCATTTTCCCCAATTGTGCACTTTCACAGATTTTAAACAGTTAATAAACTACCGTTATTACACATTTAAACCTGAAGAAATACTAAATAGACAAAATCAAACAATACACACAACTTCACTCCTCGCGTTCTCGCCATAGAGTCCAGTGTTTGTTGAGTGTTTAAGTGTTCTAAGTTCTAATACTGTGTTAACCTGTAATTCGGTAGAATTTTATTTATCCCGAACCCCATCACGTAACGGTACTTTGTCCTTTTCTAGACTAAAATTTAAATTTAATCCATTTTATAAACTGATAGAATGCATGTTTGTAAATCGCTTAAAGTATTTTATTATCGTTTTCTCAAAAATGTTAGTTGAACCGCTATGTCCCCGCTCGGTTCCCCCCGACCCCCCGACCCCCCTCATCGTTTCCTCCGTCGTGTCGCAGGGCTACCAGATCCTGCAGACGCTGGACGAGCACTCGTCCTCCATCACGGCGGTGCGCTTCATCGCGTCCGGCTCCGGCCTGCAGATGGTCTCCTGCGGCGCCGACAAGACCATCCTCTTCAGGCAATTGAAAACCGTGAGTTGTTTGCACTATGTGACGGACAGCTCGACTTAGAAGCTTTTTATTGCTCAGCCAAAAAACGAGCTCACTGTTCATCTGTGTGCTTAGTGCGAGTTCTTTAACGTTCTCGATAGCGTAAAAGTTAACTCATATTTGTATGGAGTTGGAATGTTTCTCTACGTTTGCCGCTAGGGCGCTGTAAGCAATTCCTTTTTCTCTGTGCCAGTGTTGAGTTTATAAAAATCTTTAATTACTCAATTAAACACATACGAAAATTTATATGGAGCGAAATGCGATGAAGTTGTTTTATTTGAGGTGAAATTAAATGCTATGTGATGAGGTGGGATTTATAATAAAGGTTCAGTGAATTTACTGAAACTTTTGTGGTTTTTTTTAAACCGTATCTGTTCAGCCCTTTTATTTCATTCTCCCATACTCGTGCACTCACAAACCTCAAGTAACACAGTTCACACACGTTCGCCCCCCCCCCCCCTGCTCAAGTCCGTGTGCGCCCGCAGGACGGCAGCCGGCAGTTCGCGCGCGGACAGAACGTGTCCGGCCGCACCACGCTCTACGACATGGAGGTGGACGCCGGCGGGCGACACGTGCTCACCGCATGCCAGGTCAGTGACCACACGCGGCCCCGCCCCCTGCTCCCCCGCCCCCTGCTCCCCCCCAGCTCGTGTCAACGACTCGGTCTCAGAGAAAGTGTTTTCATGTCATCATCGAAGCTTGAGAGATTAACTTACACATGACGGAGAATTGAACTTCACGTCTCGTGAACTGTGACGTCACTACAGTAACGCTCCCGTGAAAAAACGACAAAGACCCATATATAGATTACTAGCTATTAGTGGTAGCTCAGCCCGCGTGGTAAAAAAACAGTGTCAGTCTAATGTCCCGTGACAGGATTTTCTCAAACAAAATATGTTAATGCGTTCGACGTGAAAGAAGAACCATTTTTTTTATTACTCTTTTCGGCAGACAAGCATACGCCCCGTCTGCTGGTGAGTGGTTACCATCGCCCATGGACTACAGCAATGCCAGGGGCAAAGCCAAGCCGCTGCCTACCAAATATTTTTTTACAATTATTTTTTTTAATGATTTTTTACAATTGTAACATGTGTATGGATGTTGCATGTCTCCACTAGGACCGCAACGTGCGCGTGTACAGCACGGCCAACGGGCGTCACACCAAGACCTTCCGGGGGACCACGGCGGAGGACGGGACCCTCATCAAGGTACGCGCACTCCGCTCACTCACAATTGAAGACACGAGCGGATGAAGGGGATATGATACAATTTGTTCATTTTGAGATAACGGCCAACAGACTTTTGTTATTTGTACTCTTTCTTCGTACATGACTCCTTCATCACATGCAATTTCTAAAAGTAGCCTTTATATCCGGAGTTTTAAGGTCTAATATGGCCTACAGGCACATAACACCCTCATTCAATCTAAAAACTCAAAAATCTTAAAAATGTTACTTAACCTCTTCATCCACCTATGTTTTCAATTCTAATAGCATTATATTAATATATTTGAGTCGTCTATTATCAAAGGTGGCAATCTCTGCATTTGGACAAAAAAATGTTATTGATATGTCAATACAGATTGATTTGAATATAATCGTCTCCTTCAAAGAATACGGTTCAAAACCTGCATTAAGTAAAGGTTAATACTTAACCTGTTATTTATCTAAGATGTCGTTCAGGAGAGTTTTGTGACTGCCAATGGAATACAAAGTCAATAATTCGTTTTTCTGATTTACCAATAATTGTCCAAAAGTCACATTGCCGGCTTTGATAATAGTCGACTCATTTAATGACATTTATTTCATAGCTAATAAATTTTGTTTATTAGTCCTGAAAACGATAAGTATCTACAACATTTAGGTGTATGTACATAATAGAAATTACATCAAAATGCTTGTTTGCTTGCGAAATGCACAGTGTTTTTGAAGAGAACGCGCCTAAAGAACTTCTTTAGGCGCGTTGAGAGTAAAATTTAACTCGCCACAGATTCGTTACGGATAGAGAGCGAAGATACAACTTAGGACGAGTGAGAGTGAGAGAAACGGCAGAGCGTCTCCCGAATCACTTGACTGTGGAGAGAGAGAAAAAGTGACCTAGGTCGTTTCTCTTATACACGGCATTCCCTATTACAAGAGAAATTTGATTTTTAAGGATGAAAAATGATTAAAACCACAATACAGCGCAAAAGAAGTTCCACTTCTTTCACGTGCACCAAGTTGCCACCATTTTTTTATTGATGAATGAATTCGCAGCCTCGCGTCTGTAGTAATGGAGCCCACGGGCATCGCAACGTAAATAATAGCTTCGGACGTGGTGTTGTACAATAGCTGCCCCCCCTCCCCCCAAATCAGAAATGATCATTCTAAACTCACAGTGTTGTTCAATACCCAGGTGGCTCTGGACAGCAGCGGGATATATCTGGCGACGTCGAGTACGGACAAGATCTTGAGCGTGTACGACTACTACTCCGGGGAGTGCATGGCGACCATGTACGGGCACTCCGAGATAGTCACCGGCCTCAAGTGAGTCGTAGCGTGCCGTCTCGCTCGCACGCGCGCGCCGCCCCCATCTCCCGTCCCTGTTCAACCCGGCTGTTGTCGCCAGGTTCACTCCGGACTGCCAGCACCTGGTGTCGGGGTCCGGGGACGGCTGCATCTTCGTGTGGAGGGTCCCGCACGACATGGTGGTGACGATGCGGGCGCGACTGGCGCAGCAGGCCATACGACAGGGGAAGTTAGTATACACCTTTAGCTCGCACGGGTGTCAGCCCGCTGAGGTTCGGATCTTCTCAGCGGGCTGCAATTCCGATCCGGTGGTAGATTCATTCGAAAAGCAAGCTGCCCTTGAGTTCTTAGGTTATGAATTTTTTTTGAAGTGAAACTTCTTTAGAATAGTTGTGATTTCAAACTCGATGAAACGAAAAAATTAGTCCATAGAGACACAAACACATAAATGTATAGAATTCAGGCGGCGAGAGAATGAGATAGAACACATTAGACGTTCTCAGTGTTGTGTTTTTTTAATACAGCGCCATCTATGAGATTTTTTAATACTAACGTGTGTATGAAACCTCTTGTAGTGAATTTTAATTTAGGATTATACGTGAAGTTAAAATATCAATTCACAGAGGGCGCTACCTCATACTATAAAAGATGATTTACAATTATTTAATAATGACAAAATTTTACATATACTTAGACAATTAGGATAATTGTATTTTAATTTTTGAAGGTTTCACTTGTACCACGTGTTAATTGCACACATGTATTTTTTTTAAATACGCTTTTATTAGCTTCAGACGTATGTATGTATGTTTGTAACGGAATCTTTGAACATGATTTTGACCCCCTTCAAAACGTCGGATTAACTCGAAATTTGGCATACTTATTAAGGACCGATGACAATATAATATTTAAAAAAATAATTGAAAAACAAAAATTAAATTCAACTAAAAATGAAAAATAAATAATAATTTTAACTAAAAAAATACGCTTTTATAGAAAATCCAATTAAAAAATGAAAAATAAATAATAGTATAAAAAAAAAAAAATACGCTTTTATAGAAAATCCAACTAACTTTTTAGGATATTATTAAAATAATTCGTATAATACCAAGCACTCCCCTTTTTTTTTACAATAAAATAATTTTTTTTTACACTATTTTTAATTCAAATTTCTTTCTTTCTTTCTTAAAATTTATTTTCTCTTTTGGTTGGATTTTCTATAAAAGTGTATTTTGTTAGTTAAATAAAAATATTATTTGTTATTTATTTATTAGGCACACTATACTCATAAAAAGTTAAAAAGATTCATAAAAAATAGCACCAAGTAAAAAAAAACAAATGTTTACGCATATTAACTCAATTTCGAATATTTTTGGAAATTGTAAGTTTTTAATGCGAAAAAGCGATGTGATCAGGATCCGTTTGTTCGTCACAGGAAAGTAGGTACGGTCAGCAACGGCACGTCGGGGCTGGAGAGCGAGGGGGAGTCGCAGTGGGGCTCGCCGCCGCGGGAACACTTCGCGCCGCCCCGCGTGCCCGACTACACGTGAGTCAACCAACGAATGATCCAACGAAGCGTGAAGTCGTCGCGGCCTAAATGATAAGACGTCCGGTGCATTCGTATGAAGCGATGCAACGGTGTTCGAATCCCGCAGGCGGGTACCAATTTTTCTAATGAAATACGTATTCAACAAATGTTCACGATTGAGTTCCACGGTGAAGGAATAACACCGTGTAATAAAAATCAAACCCTATAGATATACGACAAAGGCAAGATCTTCCACCGAGCGGGTGATATTGCTCGGTAAAATGACGGTCCGAGAGAGAAGAAGGGTCGTCGTACCCCCTTTCGGGGGCACGGAACGGGCCTCGGGGCAAACCCCACTGCCCGGGACGAAGCTCCCTGCCACATAGGGCAGGGGTGAAATGATGCAGGGAGGATTTGGGGATAGGTACGCTGTTCGCTGCGTGTTTTGCGGCAATTTACATCTATATATACTTATATATAATACGATGGGCAGTCTGGTGACGGCTCGATGCCCGCGGCGGTGACACACCGGCGCCGGCTGCTGTCCTCTGCTTCCTTACAGCTAATATTTGATTTTTTTTTTTTTTTTTCTCCCCTTACTGTCTAACTACAACTAAACTAAAGTTAACTAAACTACTATATACATACAGGGCCAACAGTTAGCAACCGTGGGGCCCGCCACCGGCCCCATGCCGCGGCCCCACCTCTACAAACCAGAGGAGGAGCCGCGGCACTAGTTTGGCGCTCACCCGTTCTGGGCTCCCCAAAAGGGGAAGACCATCGCGGGGAGGGACCGATTTAAATACACCCCAGACGGGGGAGTGGTCCACCCAACGGGGGTGGGAAATGGGTCCCCATAAGGGGGCACCCCAACGATGTGGGGGGAAATGAAGAGTGTGGACAGCTCAGTCCCATGGGGGCACTCATTATGAGCACTCCCATATCACTCCGGTTAAGCCGACTATCTTACCATAGCCGGGGGTTCCAGTAGCTCCCTTGGTGGCGCCAAACCATCAGGTGGTCTAGCGTGCAAGGGAGCTAAATTGTGGAGATGCTCGTGGGGTCCACCGTCAGCCCGCTCGTAAAGATTACGAGCTAGCCTCCGGATGAACTCCTCGAGCGACTCCACATCCAGATCCCGGGCGATTACGGCATTACTGACGTAACGCCCTGCTCCGACTATCGTGCGAAGAGCCAGATTCTGCTGGGCCTGTAACTTCACCCGCGTGACCTGCGGGACGAGGTGATATCAGGCCGCAGCTGCGTACGTGATACGGGAACGGACATACGTCTTATAAATGCCGAGCTTACTCCTGACCGGCAACCTGGAGGCCAACACCGGCCGGAGGAGGAATCTCGCGTAGCGAGCGGCCGCCAACGCCGACATGGCGTGGGCGGTCATCCTCAAACTCCGGTCGATATCGACCCCCAAGTACCGGAAGCTGGATCTAAACTCGACATTAGCGCCACGGAGACTGAGCTGTCCCGGGACGACTCTTGTGCGGACCGGACCGAAGAGAATAGCCGCGGTCTTCCCCACGTTGACCGCGACCCTCCATCGGTCCAGCCACTGGGGCAGTAAGTCCAATAACCTCTGCATCCTCGAAATGGCCGCAGAGGGGAAGTTGGATGACGCGAGGTAGGCGCTGTCGTCGGCAAACAGCGCCAACTTCACGTCGGCTTCGAGGTTGCCCTCGAGCGTGGGAATATCGTTGGTATAGAAAGCGTAGAGGAATGGAGCCAGGACGCTCCCCTGCGGAACTCCGGCCGTGACTGGGCGCACCGACGACTTGGCGCCCTCGACCGTGACAAGGAAGGATATTCCCTCCAGGTACGACCCCAGCAGTCGCACGTAGGCGTGCTGGAGGTCCGTGTTCTGCAACAGCTTGTGGATCAGTCCCGCATGCCAGACATGGTCGAAGGCCTTCTCGATGTCGAGAAAGACTGCGGCCGTGTACTGGCGCGGACGGTCCGAATGTTGTTGTTCGGAACTTGTATATATGCAAGCTTATCTTGAAAATCTCGTAAGCGAGATTCAGGCAACTGTCAAATATCTTGCATTGTATGATAGCTACCGCCACAATCCCGCAAAATTAATTTGTGTAATTACTGGTAGTAGGACTTCTTGTGAGTCCGCGCGCCTAGGTACCACCACCCCGCCTATTTCTGCCGTGAAGCCGTAATACGTTTCGGCTTGAAGGGGGGGGCTGTTGTTGTAACTATACTTGAGACCTTAGAACTTATATCTCAAGGTGGCGCATCTACGTTGTAGATGTCTATGGGCTCCGGTAACCACTTAACACTAGGTGGACCGTAAGCTCGTCCACTCTTCTAAGCAATAAAAAAAACGAAGATTATATTTTGTTATAAAATTGTTATTTTCAGTCTCCGCATAGGGCGCCTCCCGTCGTGGGCCAAGAAGAGTTTAGGGGACGACTTGGCGGCCCCCGAGAGCCCGGCGCCGGAGCCCCCCGCGCGGGGCAAGTGGGCCACCAGGATACACCCGGCAGGTGGGTGCCGCAAGCAAATATTACATACATACATTACATATTTGAATAGTAAAAAAACATCTTTTTATATCTTGCAACCAATAATTAACAATTATTCTTCTAATACATACAATATACAATTTATAACATTTTTGGTTACTATTGTTACAACTTTTTTTTTAGTATTACTTATTTGCTAGAACCTCTCCTCGACTGAAGGCCTCCTTCAACGAATACCAATGTTCACGACATCAAAAGAAATATCGAGAATATTCCACACATTTCGAGTATTGTGTTTCCGCTATCTGACAAAAGATGGAGTTGTACTTCTCGAGCGCTCTAGATGCTACTACATCCTTTGATGTTCGTTTGACTATTCGGCGATAGATGGCGTTACTCTTACCGTCGTAACAATATTTAAAACCAATTTATTGCCATATTGCTTTTAAATATTTCTTTCATACTCCAGTATTTATTCCAAGTGTTTTGTATTCTTCGTTCTACTTCTAACTCATTATTTTTGCTATTATACCCTATTTGTTTACCCAAGTTAATGTATTTATCTGTATAAGCATTCTTCGTCGTTTAAGAATCTGTAAAGGTTGGGTATGTTTAGATATTTGCGGTCTAAGTCTCAGTTCTATGATACAACCCCCCACCCTTCAAACTGGAACGCATTACTGCTTCGCGGCAGATATTTTTACTGGTAGTAGGACGTCTTGTGAGTCCGCACGAGTAGGTACCGCCGGCCTGTCTATTTCTGCCGTGAAGTTGTAATGCGTTTCGGTTTGAAGGGCGGGGCAGCCGTTGTAACTATACTTGAGACCTTAGAACTTATATCTCAAGGTGGGTGGCGCATTTACGTCGTAAATGTCTATGAGCTCCGGAAACCACTTAACAATCAGGTGGCCTGTGAGCTCGTCCACCCATCTAAGCAATCATAAAAAAAATAGAGACGTCCTACCGCCAGTAAAAATGGAGAAGCTAAAATATAAACATAACATCGACTCCCTCTCTGTGCCTCAACTTCTATTCTCTTCCCCCTCACTCTATCTACTATCATCATCATTGCTTGCTGACCAATACGTTATCTTCTGTAATTCCTCTAACAGAGAAACGTGTTGATTCAGACGGGTCCAAGGACAGCTCCCTCGACAGTGGCACCGACACAAGGTTCATTGAGAAGAGAAAAGAGAACCAGTCGAAACAGGTGAGTGGTGTAGATTTATGTTTATTTAAAAAATATCTTAAATAAATGTGTTTTAATTGGAATATATTTTTTTAAATATTATCATCTTTAAAGGGCGTGACAAATAATTTAATTTTGATTTTTTATATCGACGGATGCTATTTGGTTTAAGCGACATTTTTGTAACTTTACAGGAAAGTTAAATGAAGTTTAAAATTTAGAAAAAATATCATAACAAAAAAAACCATTCAGTTATTTGAATGGAGTAAACTTAATTGTAGTTCAATTAAAAACATCGAATTATTGGTGCTAATATCAAATAAAACCGACCTTTAATTACAATGATAAATGTCGCGTGTTAAAAAAATTGTCGCTTGAACCAAATAGCCTTTCAAACCTGCGATATGGTCTTTAGTTGTGTCCTAATCTAATTGTATTTTAGCGGCGCACGAATTAAATTACGCAGTTTCAATGAATAAAAAATATATTCCGATCCGTAAAACTGTATGTATATAACACGTTATTTTTTGTCCTTGTCGCTCACGCTGGTTATGGTTGGTGATTGTAATTGTCTTATATGTAAATATATATATATACATACTATACATGTACATATTTTATAATTTTTTTTATTTTTTATTATCTTAAACCAATTGCAGTATAGTGGCGAATTATTCGAACTGATTTGAAAACTAGAGATTTGAAGTATTTTAAATGCATTGCGGTGATTTTCCTGCGAGAGCGAATCAGGGATGAGGAGATTCGCAGAAGAACCAAGGGATAACTGACATAGCTCGAAGGACTGTGAGGTGGAAATGGGTAGGGCATATTAATACTGGAGAAGAGACCGCGTACTGGAGGATGTAGCTTGGTCTCTCGCGAGGGGGACTCGTGATCTGCTGAAGACAATGCGGAGCACGCAGGATCTATTATTGTGGCGAACCTTGGGGGGAAACCTACATCCAGTAGTGCAGGGCTGATGATGATGATGTCCATAGATACAGCCTGAGTTTCTCGTCGGATCTACTCAGCGGGTCCGGTGGTAGATCCAGCGAAGCACTGCTCTTGCTAGGGCTAGTGTTAGCAAATTCTCTCAAATTGAGCTCGTGAGCTCACCTACCCATCCACCAGAAGCTGTTATAACCCCTTGGGCTACCAGAGAGTAGGTGGGAAAAAAATGATGGTCACGACCAAGCTGCCAACGCTGTGACCACAGGTGGACTATCGGGTAATGACGACAACACAACGAAGCTAAAAATTGTGTTACGAAATTTTAAGACAATTTGAAAGACATTAATTACATTTAACATTATTATTACCTGCAACGCGTTCAAAACGCTCCATCGTTTGATAATGACTGTGATAAAGATTGTGATAAGGAATATCGAATCGCGGATCATATATTCTCGTGAAATAATAAATATCTTTGCGTTTCTATAGTTTTTTCTGTTCGTGTCGTCACTAGTCTCTTAAAATATTAGTACTTATTAAATATTTTACAACACCATCAAATATTTCAATTGGTTTAAGACTTTATTAACTGTTACCATGTGCTTATTTTTTATTCTTTTTATTTTATTAATTATAATTTACATGTGGATGATTCAAATTTTGTTCTCAACTTATTTGGAGAGAGTTTCCGAAAAATATTAACTACCTACCTAGCGACCTCTCCAAACCTATCATTAATGAATAAGGAGCTAAAATTTGAATCGTCTTACGGTTTTTTTTGTTTTCTTTTTCATTATGGTTGTGGTCGTTTCGCACTAGCGCCCGAAGTCGCTCAATTTATCGCAGCTGCCGCGCGTGGAGGCGCTCTTCCGCGATTTCGATGCAACAATGAGAAAGACCCATGATATTCTATGTATATCGCCGAGATTCGAAAAGGTTATTTTGCGAAGATTGCCTATTATTTTTCTTATGTTTGTTATGTTGTCAGCTTTGTTATGTCGGCCATCTTGTCGTGCACGTCGCCATCTTGTTTTGCAGCTGTCAAAACGTATTTCATGATTCATTTTCGTCACGTTCGCTGAGTTATGTGGTCATGTTTAGTCCATAAAGTGCTTAGATCTACGCTTGGCTATAATACATTCACACTGGTTATCAGAAGATACCATTGAATGCTCCTCCATGGTACTGAAATATTAGCGAATAAAAAAAAAGTCGATCGAGTTTCATAAATGATATTCTATTCATATGATTTACAATCAATCATTACATCGTGGGCTGAAATATGTGGGACAAGAGACATTATAGGTCATAGCTGAGTTTATAACAGTAAATTCACAATGATACTAAAGTTACATGAAATAATAATAAAGCATAATTTATACAATGAAATATTAATATAATTTACTAGATCTCTCGGTGAACTTCGTATCACGTACATGATATACATTCCTGATGTTTGAATGACCGTCTTGTCATGTCAATGTGAGAGGAGTAGATTGACTCACAATTTTTGTTGACCATGACTGCGAGAGTATCCGAACGGACCCTAAAGGATATAGACAGAAGTAATTGTGTTGAGATTTAGAAAGACGCATGTACCAAACAAACGTTATTTTGTTTATTTGACGGCTTAAATGCATGGCTTTTGCTTTTTTAATTTAATCCTTGTACATAGCGGGTGTAGAGATTTGCTGATTGGGAAAAACGATCTGGAAAATGAGTCGGGTCCTTTTATTGCTTATCCGGGTCGAAGAGCTCGCTAAACCGTTACCGGTGCCCGATGATATCAACAATGATTTTAAACAGTGGGCAGCGGCTTGGCTCTGCCCCTGGTATTGTTGACTCTGCTTGGCCGTCTGCTTGTCTGTCTACAAGGGTAATAAAAAAAAACCTTAATGCCGCCATCCACCTCGAGACACGAGTTCTAAGGTCTCAAGCATAGTTACAACGGCTGCCTCGCCCTTCAAACCGAAACGCATTACTGCTTCACGGCAGAAATAGACAGATAGTGGTACCTACCCGCGCTTACAACACATCCTACCACCAGTAACTAAACTAGAATTTTTGCTGGTTTGAATTTTATGTGGAAGTCGTTCGTGAACATTTAATAAGTGTATTTTATTACAAAAATTGGTACCCATCTGCGGGATTTGAACCACGGCACAGACACGTAATACAAACCCACCGGCCGTCTTATCCTTTAGGCCACGACGACTTTCAAAACATTAACACGCTTTCAAACTTAATTAAAAGTTTATGGGAAACCATAATCATATTTAATGTATAAAATAACATTTTTTCAAAGGCTTCGTTCGCTTTGTACACTAAAAATTAATTTCTAATTTAATCTTCTGATTAATAATGATATTTCAAATGTACAAACACAATGTAAATATTTACAATTCTATAAGCATTTTTTAGATTAGTTTCTTTCGATTATCAAACTGTTGTGGGATTATTACGTATATTCGGGAATCGCTTCGAATCTGCTTGTGTATAGAAAAGTAATGCTATTATATATAGATTCCCTTTTTATTTTATTTTAATTGTTGTGGTGACAAATTAATATTACTTACTAGCTGACCCGGCAGACTTCGTAGTGCCTCAATCGATAAATAAAAGGACTAAGGTTTTGTATAAAATAAACTTAAAACAAACAAAAGGAATCCGTCCGACGGGGGACACATCAAAGAGAAAACAAAATTGTTATTTTTATTTAATTCCGAGCATTTTCATATTTACCTACCTATTAAACCTTCTCTGGACTTACACAAATAATTCAAGATCAAAATTGGCCAAATCGGTCCAGCCGTTTTCGAGTTTTAGCGAGACTAACGAACAGCAATTTATTTATATATATATACATATTACTTATTTTCTTTTTGTGTTAGTAATTTTTTATAGTCATGTTTGTATTTTTTGTGTTATTTTTTTTGCTGTTTTTTTGTTTGTTTTTATTATACTTAGATATTATTTATTTTCAATTAGGTTACGATTAACATTTCGAAGACCAGTGCACAGGATGGTCGTGTGAGGCATCACACGGACGACTCTTCCCTTGGCAGTTTTAAATACGAGGTTTTATTATTTTTTGTTAATTTTTTTGCTATTAACCTGCTTTTTTAGTAACTACACAGTATTTTAAATAAATATAATATAATAATGATACAAAATATTCCGGAATGTGTGAATACAATGAAATGCATTTATATCCTATCTCTGTCACTCAGTCATGCTTTATATCTGTCATTGATCCATACATTTTGCTCCTACTTACCTATATGGATGTTATAAACGTGAATGAGTGTGTGTTTGTTTGTTATTCAATCACGGCGATGAATGATTGCTTAACTAAAAAAATTAAGAAAACGAGTTTAATACTTTGATCAATTTTTAAACGTGTATTCTATAAGTTTACAAATTAAAAATTTTAAAATAAAATAAAAAAATAGTTTTAATTTTAGTTCGAGTAAGGCTTAGTTAGAAAAGTACTTTCGTCTCTTTTAAATTAACCTCAAACGACCTTACGTGTTCCAGGATCAAGAGTCGACGGAGCACGACGGTGACGTGGAGGACATCTCGGACGGCGAGAGGACCTCGTCTTCGGAGAGGGCGTCCCGGCCTACTTACTACCCCGGCAATAACGACGACGACACCCCGGGGTGAGTCGAGAGGCGATCTCCTGTAGAGACGAGCGCACGTCCCAACTGATGTCCAGGGATACGATGATTGGGCAGTGTTGATGGAAGTCGTCGTGGCCTAAAGGATAAGACGTCCAGTGCAATTGTATGTAGCGATGCACCGGTGTTCGAATCCCGCAGGCGGGTACCAATTTCTCTAATGAAATACGTACCCAACAAATGTTCACGATTGACTTCCACGGTGAAGGAAAACAATGTGTAATAAAAGTAAAACCCGCAAAATTATAATTTGCGTAATTATTGGTGGTAGGACCTCTTGTGAGTAGTACGGGTAGGTACCACCACCCTGCCTATTTCTGCCGTGAAGCAGTAATGCGTTTCGGTTTGAAGGGTGGGGCAGCCGTTGTAACTATACTTGAGACCTTAGAACTTATATCTCAAGGTGGGTGGCGACATTTACGTTGTAGATGTCTATGGGCTTCAGTAACCACTTAACACCAGGTGTGCTGTGAGCTCGTCTACCTATCTAAGCAATAGAAAAAAAACAGCCGACGGTGTATGTATATTGGGTGTTAGGAGACCGCTTCAGAAAACGAAGACAGACGATAGTACTAATGACACCCTTGACGATGGGACGGGAAAAAAATCGATCCTAAAATTAAAAAAATATATTTTTTTAAAACATTTTATTAACATTATTTACGCTCCATCATGTTAGTACAGCTAAATGAAACGATGGTTTCATAAAAGATACATAACTTTACTAAAAAAAAACCCGCAATGAAATACAAAATCAAAAACAGCTGATGCTCGGGTCAACGAACGCGCGGGCGCGGCGCTGGTACCGCGCGATCGCACAAATACTTATTTACAACATTTTGTCTAAATAACTCCATCATCAAAGGTGTCATTAGTACTATCGTCTGTCTTACTTTTCGGAAGCGGTCTCCTAACACCCAGTATATATATATATAGACTCTAGCTCTATATTAGTTGTACTCGTCCGCTTCGCTGGGCATTTAAAATTAACATTATTATTTATTGTCATTATTATTAGGTTGTCCAACACTCATATAAACATTAGCCTTTTTTTTTATTGCTTAGATCGGTGGACGAGCTCATAGCCCACCTGATGTTAAGTGGTTACTGGAGCCCATAGACATCTACAACGTAGATGCCGCCACACACCTTGAGATATAAGTTCTAAGGTTTCAGTATAGTTACAACGGCTGCCCCACCCTTCAAACCGAAACGCATTACTGCTTCACGGCAGAAATAGGCAGGGTGGTGGTACCTATCCGCGCGGACTCACAAGTTGTCCTACCACCAGTAATAAGCCTATCCATTAAGTACATGTATTCTCTACATGGACCAAGTTTCAAGTCAATCGGATGCACGGTTCAGTAGTTATAACGGAACATCCGTAAAAATCACTGTAGATTTATATGTTAGTATAGATAAGTCGACATGGGTCCCATATAGATCTTGGTCCGGTCGGATATCCGGTGACTAGTGGAGGATAAATATTAAAGGCCACACTACTGTCGGTTGCAGCGAGTTCATGGTGAACGCCATGAACGCTGAAGAGTTGAGGCAGTCGATTCGTCGCTCGAAGCGCTGGAAGACCGACTCCCCCCGGCTGGAGATACCACCCACCACCACCTCGCTCAGCGGCTCCGGCCACGACTCCGACGATGACGAGGTAATAATGATTTTAAGCGACTTCGATGTACTTTTCATTAACTTGTTTTTTTTAAAAGGGATTTTATGACCTGGTAACTAAGACCTTTAAGTCATATCTTATTTTTATGAAAAATGATAATATACCCGTGAGGCCTCATAAAACGTCCAACTGTGTTTATGGGTTAATTCGCTTGTCGAGTCTTTGGTCGCAAGTGACGGGTTCGACGAGGACGGTGACCTGTGCTTGTGGTACCTAAAACCGCCGTTAATGGATCTGGAGGATCTGTAATGACGTGCTTAGGGCAACTCTGGTGCAATACTCGGGGAACTTTGCTGCCCATATTCCGGTGACCCTCTCAGTCGCCCCATCCGACCCCCCGGGGAGAGATGGGGGGGAATTTTCTAGGCGGTCACACAGAGCCATTTACCGTGCGCATCTAACAAAACCTGTCTGAATTGTACTATGTGTGACGTAATTTGATGTCAAACTTTCCATATATATTCCGGAATAACCATAAATCATATATTAGTCTATAACACCAATAATAGTTACATACCGTATGTAAGTTGTAACGTAACTTTATTTCATTTAATTTGACTATATGTTATCATTTTTCATAAAAATTAGAATATAAATTAAAGTAAGACATGACCTAAAGATCTTAGTCACCAGGTCAAAAAAAAAAGTGTTGTGTCCGGCAGGTGTCCACCCCGTCCGGCGACAACGCGGACCGGAACCCTCTGTCGGCGTCCTGCGAGTCGCTGCCCCGCGCCGCCCTGCGCGAGACCTACGTGCGCGCCGCCTTCGACAGCCTGGGGGGGACCGACGCCGCGCCCGGCGCAGGTACGTGCCACCCCCTCCCCTTCACGGCCTAAACAGCTTGAAATCAGCTCTAAGCGGTAGATCAACCGTGCCCTTTGGACTGATTTACTGGTGGTAGGACCTCCTGTGATTACGCGCGGGTAGGTACCACCACCCCGCCTATTTCTGCCGTGAACCCGTTGTACTGAGACCTTTGAACTAATATCTCATGGTGGGTGGCGGCGTTTACGTTGTAGATGTCTACGGGCTCCGGTAACAACTTAACACCAGGTGGGCCGTGAGCTTGTCCACCCATCTAACCAATAAAAAAAATACTCGAGCGAGAGTAACCGTTATCAGTGAATAAGGATGTCCCTTGTGTGCGTCAGGACACAACTCACTGTCGTCGCAGCACCGCGCGCCCGCGGTGTCCCGCAACAAGCTCCTGGACCCGGAGGCTGCGAGGAAACGAGAGGAACTCAACAGGAGGATACTGGAGACCAGGAGGCAGCTGGAGAACGTGAGTCCTTTTTATTATTTCAGTAAATACGGCTCGTTGGTGTGTGGTCATCGTCAGCAAAGCCTTAGAGAAGCAGCTACCCTCAAAACTTTCAAAGCATTCGATAAATATAGGTTTGCCTTGATTTGAGTCGATAGGACGTTCAGTGAGTCAGGGGACACAGGGGGACCTGACCCCCCCGACCCCCACTGGAGGACCGACCACCCCCGCGACACCACTACACGTACATCGACTAGTACATTGCCTGAGCTCCCCCCTCCCCCCGCAGGTCGCGTTCAGATCGAACCTGAAATCCAGCCAGTCCACGACGGACCTCTCCTACATCCCCGAGAAGGACAACGCGCGCAGGTCACGACCCATGTCCATGGCCGTGCCGAGCAACACTCGACCTTACGGTAAACGATTAGTATATATATTCTCTTATCACGTGTTTGAAAAAAAATTAAAATCATTAATTTAAAAGAAGTATTAAAGGCGAGGCGATACAAACCATAAATATAGAATATATACATGTATAGATAATAAACACTCAGGCTAAGAACAAAAAAAAAATGTTCAAAATGTTTTTCCGTTGCGGGAATCGAACCCGCGACCCTCAGCGCGTCAGTCAGATGCGCTTACCACTGCACCACCGAGTCAGTAACGTTTTATAACTGATTAGAAATAATTCGATAGATCGCAGTGTAAATGGCGCGTTGCGATATGCCAATATCGAATAAATATGCGACAATAAATTTTAATGCCCTTGTGATTCTTAAAAGGATATTTTTTTTTATGATATTTCCTCAAATTTATACTCCTGATGTTTGATTTAAAATCTTTTTAACTTAAACTATGAAAGCGTTCGTGTGATATCAGCCTAAGCTAAGGGTAATTTTACGGTATGACACTAATGTATAGTACAATATTTTATTATAGGAAACTTGTTTTGGGCCAATTTTGCAAGCTATATCTTAATCTCTATAATAATTGAAACGATTGTTTTGATTTGGAAATGTTCTATCAGCCCGTAATATTTGTTTATTAGTTCAAATCGTGACATATACAATGTCAAATAACAACATTAACGCGTGAAATTTATGTACTAACAAAATTAACTAATTCCAAAATCGATTTCCCCTTAAAACGCTAACCAGGACTCGCCAATGCATTCCCGGAGGAAACTTTCGATAGTTTAAACTCGAATTACTTTGACAGCCTTAATCCTTGTCAGAATCCTATTCAGGATTACAGGAATAAGAATCCTTACGCCATACCGGCGAATCTGAACCACAGACTCCCGGAATATAACGAAACTCCCCCATATGTACCACCACATTCGAACATCCACCCGATATCGAGCGATAAAAGACATTTGAACTTCATTCCCTATTCGAAGCCGGTGTTCAAAGAGCAAACCCAACAGAAGCCTTCAGCGTTCACGGTGGACATGAAACCGGTTCAATCGAGGGTTTTCAACAGACTCTTTCCGGATAAAGAACCGCCTAAGGTTCCGCCTAGGAATTTCCACCTGAACCTAACGAAACCGGAGGAGAAACCTCCGCAGAAGTCACTAAAGCCAAACGCCAGGAGCATCTTCAAGAACTATAAGTCTTGTCCGGTCTCGCCAGTCTCCGAGGAGTGCAAATGGGCTGATAAAGTCGCCCAAAACGCCAAATGCGAAGGAAAAAATCACGAGACGAACTCTCTAGATCCGAAAAAGAGGAATTCTTTAAGCTTCTTCATCGGCATGGAAGTTAACAGCGGGAAGAGTGTCGTTGATACAATTAAAACCAACACAGAGAAAATGATAGCAGAAATTACGGAAAAATACGGAGATTTAGATGAGTTCACTCCTGGCGATAGGAGTGATCTGGATTTGAAACCTACTAAAGGAGAAAGAGACGACGGAAACTTCTCCTCGGATTCGTTGGAAGACTGCAGCTTGAGCCAAGACGCGAGCTGCAAGAACAAATTGTTTTCGAAGAAAGTCTGTAAAAAGCACAATAAGAATCAACCCAGACGGGCCGTGTCCGATTATGAGATATACGGAGCTTACGAGAAACCAGCCGTGCCCGCGAAACCCGCGAATATCGGGCAAAAAAGCTCGACTTTGCCAAGAAATATGCCGTCAAACCTCGACGAAGCCGAGGAGAACAATGCCGAATACATTTATAGATGCCAGAGCGTCTTAACGAAACGCTGCGTGACTAGATCCAATGAGTCGGTTTTGAGCGATAACTCCAATTGCTCGAGTGTCTCAAATGAGGTCTTCCTCAAATACGGAAACGAGGTTGCGTTCCAGCAAGCCAAATATGACAGCAGATACAATCTGGACGGCTCACAGAATTGTTCCTACGAAAATGTCAACGATGAGTATTTGGATCGACACAGACACAGCAGCGCCAGTTTCTTCTTAAACCAGAAGAAGTACATGAAATCCAGCTGCAGTCAGGAGTCTATATTGTCGGACGAAATGTATTTGGACAATGACAATCAACTGTCAAGGACGAATTGTAATTCGCTTGAAAGTGTCCTGTCTGACGACTCTGATTGTACCAAGAGCGCTCCACTGGAGATGCTATTCGAAGGTGCCAGACCTAAGAGGCCAATGAAGGGCCAAGCCATACCCCGCAACAGTAAAAGCTGTTACGAATTCGACCACGCTTCGAAGAGCTACGGTTGCAGCCCGAATAATGCGCCCCAATTCGGCAGCTACATGATCAATAACTACATGGAAGTCAGTCCCAATTACCAAACCCCGAAGAGTCCAATAGGAAACATTAGCGTGCCGACCAATAAAGTTTATGGATTCAGTGTGGACCCAGATCTATCAGGGCACAAGACGATAACTAGGTCAAAGAGTCTGTACGATTCGGGCAGTAAACAACCGCCGGTAGCTAAAAACATCGCATACTATTTCGATGGTAGTAATGTCCAGCAGTACACGAAGGAAAAGAAGCCGCCCGATGAGATACCGAGGTTGAACAAGTCTGAATATATGTCAAATAAAACCAAGTCCCTGCAGCCGAATTTCGCTGAAAAACAAAAATACAAAAGCGATTTATCCGCTTGCGAACAGAATACTATGATCAAATCGAAGAGTTGTAGCTTCGAAGTGGTTTTAGAGCCGGCTTCCAAACCTAATCCCCTGAAGAGCTTAATGGAGAAACGCAATTCGCACGTTCAGAAGAATCTGGAGAAATTCGAGGAGCAGATTCGCAAAAATACACAGAGCAAAACGACGAAGAACCAAATGAACAAAGACAAAGCGAACGGCTCAAAAAATAACAACGCCACCAAAAGCTTGGAGCGGGGCTCGGGACAGAAAAACAACAGTAAAATCACCATGGAATTCGTGCCCCACAAGCCGCCGAAACCGATCAAAAGAACCTCGTCAGTTAAAATGAATAACAGATTGAAGGCAGGGCTGGATAAACAGGGACTGAGCTCTTCCATATCGTCGCAGTACAAAGCAAAACTAGACGGCCTTCATAACAAGAACTACATGGCCCACAAAAGGCAGGAAGACAAGAACTCCAACAACAACATAGACTCGAGCGAGAACCCGGAGAAAACCATAGAGGTTTTCGTTAAGGAGAAAGACGTCAATGAGAATAAATCAGAGATTCAGATGGACAGTCTAGAAGTTTACAGCCTGCAAAGAATGAAAGAAGTTAGCATGGATTCGCTAGACGTTTTAGAAGAATTCACAAAAGATTCATTAGACTATTACGCGGAGCAAGACAGTAAACTTTCCTTCGGGAAGTCTATAAAGGATCAGATAAATTTGAAAATAGCTAAGAGTGATCGCGAAGCGCCATGTCATAGTCGACAGGCGGACACCAAAGAAAACATAGCGCCGCCAGACGACGAAATAAAAAAATACAAGTACATCGAAAGAAAACTCGAGATAATCAACAAACTAGTTGAAATGGAAGAGCGGAAGATACTACAGGAGAAAATATTGAAAGAATGGCGCATGAGGCCACTGAAAGCTAACATAAACGACGGTACAGGTGTCGTTAAAGTGTTATCCAGAAAATTCGAGAAGTTAGCCACAAAACAATCAGCTAATTTCGCTTCGTTGACGCTAGAAGAAGCGGACACGGATACAGAGAACAGCGAGAACAAGGAAATTAAACGTAATCTGAGCTTGCCCGATATTTTGGATACGGACCACATAAGCTTGGTTACCGCGGAAGACGTAGACCCCGGTAAAGACAACGATTCGATGAACTTCCCTTACGAACAACCGTTAAACAACACAGTACGAACAGATGCTCCGAAATCCTTGAAGCAACGGGTTTACAATGAAACGATAATACCGAAAACTGACGTTCATATAGACAGCGAAAACTATGAATCATCCACGACAAGCTCAAGCTGCACCAACTCCCCAAAAAGACTGTCTTTCTATGGTTTCAATAGACCTAAAATACCGCTGCGGAGAATCTTGCGAGCGCCCACTCCTCGACTCTGTCTAGAGACCAGGGCCTTACCAATGAGGCCCTTTTTGAATTCGGGGTGTGGCGTAAGGAATTCGGTTCTCTTTAAAAAAGTTTCCACACCGGTTATGCCTGCGAAATTCACACCTATGCCAGGTCGGAGTGCATGTTCATAACTTACTATTAATGTTGTGAATCATTTTATTTGCGATTCTTGGTTTTCTTGAAGCTGTGATGAATCGTTAAGAGTGCTAAATATGATTTTAGGCTTAATTTCATAGCCTTTGTCAATGTCTCCGTTCGAAAATTAGGTATTAACTTTCTGTTGTATTGCGTAATGCAATGCAAAAATTTGGAGCTACAGATGTACATTGAATTCTTTTAAAGCAATTTTCGATAAATGTCATCTTTCATTGTTATGTTTTTTGACCCAAAACTAATCTGTGAATGATGCATTTTAACTTTTCATTAATAGCTCACTGCCTCTTCATGATTCGTCACAGAAAGCTTTTTGTAAACATTTGTATTTTTATCCAGCATGCGTTTTGAATTATCTTAGCGTTGTTCAATAAAAAATAATGCATGATTTATCTTAGAATCGTATGCCTATGTAATGTTGTGTGAGAGCAATATTTATCGGCATAGAACCGAAAATATATAGAAACGGTATTTCAAAACGATTTTGTTTAAAAAATGGGGAGAGAAAAATAATTAAGAAATTATTACCGAGGCTTGGGGCTACCTAATTATGTCAAAATTAATTTGATTATGTTAAAATGTGTCCACATATTTTAAAGACTTGAGACTTAACAACCAGAATCAAAGGAAATCTGTTATTGAATATGCAAAAATCTATAAGTATTAATTGTAAATTTGCAATAAGAATTTTTGTTGATAAGACATCCGACAAATTCTTTTATTATATGGTATATATACCAGTCACACACACACACACGCGAAGGAATAAAACTAAGAATAATTAATTTCAGTGTGCTTAGTGCGAGTTTTTTCGAATTTGTATGGAGTTGGAACAGCTTCCCTTCGTTTACCGCCAGGGGCGCTGTTCCCGCTCAATACAAATTTGAGTGAACTTTTACGCGATCGAGAACGTTAAAAAACTCGCACTAAGCATGCGTGCAACATAATAGAATTCTTAGAGGTGTAACCGATCTTTTTAAATATTTGTCGAAAGTTTGATTAAATCAGAAAACACTTGGCCCTCGTATTCAAGCTAAAAGGGCTATAGAAATCACGCGATATCGATTATCAAATGTATCGATATATAGGTTCTCTTAATTTAGTGTGAGAGGCAGCGACTTCGCTGTGCTCCCGGGATTGCTGACTTCCATTACCACTTGCTATCTTCATTGAGTTTTGTTAAGCCTTTGAGCGCGAAACGTCGATAGACCGATTCTCTATTAATGTGTATAAAGTACGTAGCGTCGAAATACCGACTATTGCGCAGTTTGATTATAGTTATTAGGTATCGACCTGTACGGACGTGTCTTAGCGACATTAACGTTTTTAATAAGCTAATAATAATATTTATAAATGACCATTTCAAAATTATTTTGCTGCGAATTTAGTTTTTATGTTACTGATGGTAGGACCTCTTGTGAGTCCGCACGGGTAGGTACCACTGGGTGGTGCCAATTTCTGTCGTGAAACAGTAATGTTGTAACTATACTGAGACCTTAGAACTCATATCTCAAGGTGGGTGGCGGCATTTACGTTGTAGATGTCTATGGGCTCTAGTAACTACTTAACACCAGGTGGGCTGTAAGCTCGTTCACCCATCTATACAATAAAAAATATATATTAGGTACCTTTTTCCAAACAATGTCCTTTACAAATTTATGGAAAATACGTGAAATTAAACTCAGCACTAAAAGGGTTATTAATGCACGACTAAACGCTAATGTTACGACAGCTGGTCGCAACTATTTGTCGGCATCGGACCGCGAGGAGGAGGGGACCGGCATGAGGAGGGCGATATCTCTGTCGGACCTCGCCGCCAAGCCGATGCCGGCTCCCAGGACGCCGCAAGGTGGGTTCGGTGGCGGTACGAAAATGTATAAAGGTGGCGGAATTTTTGCTATGGGTTTCAATGTAACAAATGCTAGTAATCTATTTAGCTAATTCGTCCTTCGAATGTAGTTGGATTGGGCGGTCGCCGTGTCGCGCTGAAATACACGATTGGTTGGGTGCTCATCCACCATGGTATCATCATCACTCTCCTGTCCTTCTCCCAGTCACCTGGGGTTGGCACAATATGTTTTCTCCTTCCATACTCTTCTATCATATACCATTTCTTCTTAGGTCTACGTCTTCCTGTATATCCTTCCACATTCATAGCTAACACTCTCTTACCAACATCATTTTCATTTCGTCTCATCACATGTCCATACCATTTACTGTGTTATGTTAACGGTAAAAGGAGCCCCATAGAGAGAGTCCACTGAGTTACTCGCTGGATCTTCTTAGTGGGTCGCTCAGTAGATTCAGCAAAGCACTGCTCTTGCTAGAGCTAGTGTCAGCAAATTCTCGCGTGTTAAGCCCGTGAGCTCGCCTACCCATCCGCGCGTATCTGGAATACCCCTTAAGTCTACCAGCGAATGATTAGGTAAAAGATAATAGCTCTTATCCACGTGTTCTAAAAATAATTCTTCTTCTTCTTTCTTTCCTCATACCCTCTGCTGGGGTGTAGGGCTCGAATCAAATCATTCCATTTACATCGGTCTTGGGCGGTCTGTTCTAGCTCCTCCCAGGTCATGCCCAAGATGCCCAGCTCTTGCTCCACCGGTCATCGTACTCGTCGAGGGTTCGACCAGTAAATTAACCCACTGACACAGCCCACTGAGTTTCTCGCCGGATCTTCTCAGTGGGTGGCGTTTCCGATCCGGTGGTAGATTCTGCGAAGCACGACTCTTGCTAGGGTTCGGGTTAGCAACGTCGTCAGGTTTGAGCCCCGTGAGCTCCCCTACTAGTTAAGGTTACGTTGAAATAGCCTCTTAAGGCTATCAGCTTAGGCAGAAAAAAAACCCTGCTCCACCGAGCGACGCCAAGTTGTTCTGGGACGGCCTCTCTTCCTCTCTAAAAGTTATAGTTTGATAATATCTTGCCCATACCGCATTGCTCAATCTGTGCTTAGAGATCCACATGGTGCTGACTGTGGGCTCCGATAACCAGTACAAGAGTGAAGATGAAGGCAAAAATAAATTCGAATGGGAATGCTGATTATTTTAACCGATAACCAACTAAGGAAGGATAGTGACGCAAGAAAACAAATCCGAAAGGGGATGCTAATTCTTCTAACAGCAATAGCTGAAGGCTATACATGGATGAGCTAGGCCACGGTTGTTCGACTTGGATTGATTGACTTGTCAACAAAGATCTCAGGGTACGTCATTAAAGGTAGGCAGCGGTAGGCAGCGGCTTGGCTCTGCCCTTGGCATTGCTGAAGTCCATGGGCGACGGTAACCACTCACCATCAGGTGGGCCGTATGCTCGCCTGCCTACAAAGGCAATAAAAAAAAAAGTCGATTAAAACTGTTCCACTTTTCAAACGGAAACGCCTCACTATTTCACGGTAAAAACAGATAGGATCCCAGTACCTACTCGTGTGAGCTATTCATTGAAATTGGGTCGGCGGAACAGTGTTGCCCAATAATATTGAAAGGCGCTACTAAATCCAAACGATCATTTATATTGCACATTAATACGACCTGCACAATTTTTTCATGTTTAGTCGAGCTAAGGGTCTGCCCTTCTTTCAGATCACATGAATAAAAATTGCCTATTATTTCCTTAAGATATCTATTGCTTTGAATAAAAAACTTTGAATGCAATGCACGCTTTCTTCTTGTAAAAAGCTAGCTTTCCATGTTATTAATGCTAAATTATTGTTAATTAATGTTTTGCTTTTAATTTCCTATATGGAGGGTAGAAGTAAGGAGTGCCATTTTGTATAGGGGACGGTTTGAAAAAGTGTCCGTCTGTAGAAAGCAAGTCGTTGCTGGAGGATTCACAGAAATGGCGCTAGTGTAGGAAATGGAAATGATATCGAGGGGTGAAAGGCTATTTGGTTTAATTGACATTTTTGCAACTTTACAGGAGAGCCATTAAAAGTTTAAATTTTGGAAAAAATATCAAAACATAAAAACTTCTTCAGATATTTAAACGGGGTAAACTTTATTGAAAATTAAGAACTTAAAAACTTGAAAATTAAAATTAAAAGCTTAATTAAAAACGTCGATTTTTTTATACTAATACCAAATAAAACGCACATATAAATTACATATAGGTATATAAATGCGTATTAAGCGAAATTTCGCTTGAACCAAATAACTTTTCACCCCTCGATTATGAATATAGCAGTTTTAAACAGAGTAAAGTGTGGTAGTTTATGGCGCTGTTGTTAAAATCCTTCCACTGGCTATTGTGGCGCCATCTGCTCAGAATGAACTGCTGCTCCTTCTCCAATGAATCCCTTAGTCCTCTTGTACGACACCCAGGGAAGGAGCTGGGTGGTGATATTCTAGTTTAAACTGTAAACTTTTCGGGTCTCTTTCAGCGGGCGCTTTTGAATATACTGAGATGACGCTTCTTACTTCTACTCTCCCCAGTTTCTTATCTGTTATATATATTTATTTATTTATAACTTTATATACTAGACAGTATAAAGGCGGATTTAATGCCATAGGCATTCTCTGACAGTCTACCTTAGGGGGTATCTACCTTAGGTTATATTATGACAGCATCAAAAATGTCACGAGTGGCAGTGGGTTGAAAAGTGATTGTTATTATTAACTTTATTAAATTTCATTTGAATGTAGTCCACGGCTCGAACGAAATATGCTTCTAAATCTTTTGTCCGTAGATCTTGTAGGTTGTATGATGCTAAGTTCTCGAATGCTGACATCTTTTGCTTGTCACTTGTAGCATATAGAAATGCTATTTTGGAATAATCATAAGGCGATTTAGTCCAATGAGTATTACTTAGTTTTATAGTATAAGTTGATGTACATAATAATATGTGCCTATTGTGTTGCTTTTGTTTTTTGTGTAAATTTAAATGTTTAAATTTCTCTTTTTTATTTCTTCCTATGTTCACTTTTCTACATAAATGTGAATTTGGTGGTGGAAACATGTTTGGTTATTATTTTAGCTATTTTTTTAAATATTATATGTCTGTATTGTACTGTTGGTTTCCCAAATAAATAAATATGTAATAATATTGATAAAAACATGTAAGGATGTCACTCAAATGCAACGTAGAAGCCTTTTCATAAACTTAAAAGTACCTTAACCATAAAAATTAAAAAAATGATTGGTATTTAAAAAAAAAACGAACTGTTCTCTTGTTAATGAGGTCATCCCATTTAGATTATGGCGTGCGAGAGAGATAGCGATATGTTCTCATTTATAAACCCAATTAATTTTGATGTTTACAAACATTTCATAAAAAAAGTTTTCTCTATCGACATTTCACTGTGCTTACTACATTTTAACGCCTCAAAGGTTAACCCTGTTCTAAATTCGACAGTCATTTTGTTTGGATTGATTCTAATGACTCCTCTTTTATTTGAGAGACGCTTCTCACGTCCCATTTAAATTTCATTAAAATTTGACCCATAGTTTTTGATTTATCCTCAATAATACATATTTTGATGACACCACATTGATGATGACCACCTTTTTTGATTTCTTTCGAATACTGTGTATATATGGAGCTCTTTAAAGAACATTGGTGTGCTTTATACTGGACGAAGCTTTAATCGTGTTCGAACTTCAGGTCAGACTAAGCCGGTTATTCAGCAGCCTAGCAGTCAAAGCAAGTCCAGCTTCGTCCGCCCCCCACCGAGGTACAGCAACAAATCGAACATGACGAGGAGTTCCAGTGTCGGAGTACTGAACCAGGTGGGCTCCGGATCGATTAGCGACTAGACTTAGATGTTTGAGGACACGTGCGATGCTAAATGATAACCTTAATGATGACCTGAACTCGCGCGTCGATTGATTTTAAATTGTGTTCCATTGCGTGGTCTTCAAAAACATTCATAAATGAAGTCGTCGTGGCCTAAAGGATAAGACGTCCGATGTATTCGTGTTGAGCGATGCACCGGTGTTCGAATCTCAGGCGGCTACCAATTCTTCTAATGAAATACGTACTCAACAAATGTTCACGATTGATTTCCACGGTGAAGGAATAGCATCGTGTAATAAAAATGAAACCCGCAGAATTATAATTTGCGTAATTACTGGTGATAGGACCTCTTGTGAGTCCGCGCGGGTAGGTACCACCACTACCTGCCTATTTCTGCCGTGAGGCAGTAATGCGTTTCGGTTTGAAGGGCGGGGCAGCCGCTGTAACTATACTAAGCCTTTGGAACTGATATCTCAAGGTGGGTGGCGCATTTACGTTGTAGATGTCTATGGGCTCCGGTAACCACTTAACACCAGGTGGGCTGTGAGCTCATCCACCCATCTAAGTAATAAATAAATAGATGTCTTCTTCAATAATTCTAGAGTGACTCAGAATCGGATCCTCAGCCGTCCAGACCACAGTCGAGCCGTGCTCAAGGATTGATGCGACCAACGATTAGTTCCATGAATAAGGCGGCAGCCAACACGGCCAGGAGACGTGGCCTGTCGAACGCCTACAGCGCCGGTAAGTTCAGAGACCATTTTAATTTGGTTCTTCAGTAGCGTCTGCAAAAACATGTCGGGTTTTTTACAAAAATAACTGTTATAGCTTGATTTGATAATGATGGAAGCTTCTAATTACGCTTATAAAAAAATAGGCACGGTAGTTAAGAATTAAGATGAAATAAAAACACGATGCCGCTTCGAACAGTACGAGAATCCGTGTAGCGACACAACCCGTATTATTAATACTTAATTCCAACTATATAGTCACATACGGCACAATTTTCTGGCAAATCTTGGATTGATGGCCATCAAACCCCACTGCATCACCCGCTAGTCCAGTCTGAAGATTTCTCTTAAAAATTCCGGTTACCGTTTCGCTTCGAGTAGAACCGATTACTAACTGTCTTCGTGTTATCTCTGTAACGTTTTTATGGTCGACAAGACAAGTCTACAATTATCGAGAACATTCTCGGTAGTACTAGTCATGTCCTCATCCTCCCATCAGATCCAATATCTTTTGCATTAGACGCCTTCAACTCTAACGCTAGGAGCAGGCTTAGGGACCCCGGTAACCGTACTCGTCGAAATCGACAAAGAGGTCGACCTAACCCATGAATCAGCCAGCTGAGTTTTTCGCCGGAGCTTCTCAGTGGGTCGCGTTTCTGATCCGGTGGTAGATTTTGCGAAGCACGGCTCTTGCTGGCGCCAGTGTTAGCAACACTCCGGTTTGAGCCCCGTGAGCTCACCTACATGTTAGGGCGAAGCTGAAATAGCCTCTCAAGGCTATCAGCGTAGGCAGGAAAAAAAAATCGTACCGATTGTAAAATAGTTTATAGCAGTGGTTCGAGCCCTGGGAGGGAATATTATATTACACTGCTATACCTGAACAATAGATGAAGAAGTTTTTTGTTATATTTATAAAAATTTAAACTCCAAATGCCTCTCCTGTAAACTTTCAAAAATGTCGCTTAAACGTAATAGTCTTTTACCTCTCGATATCACTTCTATTTCCTACACTAGCGCCATTTCGGTGAGTCTTCCAACAACAATTTGCTGTTCACAGACGGACGCTTTTTCAAATTGTCCCCTGGTGGTATTTACGACCGCGCAATGTAAAGCGTAATTCATTTTCGACCATATGACCTTGAACTTAGAGCTCTTTCATCGACACCGACAGCAAATTCAGCTGAGTCCCCTACTGTCACCATAGAAACTTGACGCACCATAGTTTAAACAGCACAAAATTAAACACGTACTAACTTGCATGCGGGAACAGTGAGTCTCGCAACGGGAGGGCAAGAGGAGTCCAGTTCTGAAGCGGATGAGAGGAGGGGAGACGAGAAACCCTCGGCGCCGAGGCCCAGGTCCGGCTCCGTGGATGCCCAGAGGAGGATCGGTCAGTACACAGTGCAAATGTAACTTGCGAATGGCTTTTAAAGGACCGAAGTTCCGTGAGCGCGCAATGTAAAGCGTACAGAACGCGACTTGTACAAAGTACATTGCCGGCTAAATATTCAGCGTCACTAAAACAATAGTTCGAATACCCTACCTTTGAAATGTTTCGGTCGGGACGATGATGAAGAAAACAAAAACATATTTTGCGTAATCACTGGTGGTGGAGCGTCTATTGGTCCCGCCCGGGTGAGTACCGCCGTCCTGCCTATTTCTGCCGCGACGCAGCCATAGACTTTGTACCCTAAAACCGATATTTAGAACTCATGTCTCAGAGTCATGAAGTCTTTGGGCTCCGGGTCGGCCGTTAGCTATTTCATGCGATAGTCCATACTTGTGTCCGCTTGGTTACTGAGTGGTGTCGCGCACAGGGCGCAGTGGCAGCGAGCGCGACCTGTCGGCGAAGGCGCGCGAGGTGACGGCGCGGCTGGCCGCCGCCCCCCGCCCCCGCCACAAGCACGACCCCCCCGCCGACACCAGCCGTGAGTACCGCGCGCCCCCAGGAGACATCGCTGTGTCTTAGTAGGGCTGACGAATCTATCGATAAGTGCGATTGCTCATAGGCATCAACAACCAGTAGGGCTGACGAATCTATCGATAAGTGCCATTGTTCATAGGGATCAACAACCATGACCCTGCTGAGTGAGTACTGATATGAAGGGAGAAACGCCGGGTGATGAAAAGTAATGAACATCTCGAAATCTAATCGAGTTTCATCTGAAGTTAAGCGAAAGTTTGACGATGCCTCCAATAAATAAATGGGTTGAAGTGTTGTAGCGCAGTGAGGTTATCACGCGGGCTGGACCTGGAGACTGGACCGGCTCATGTGTGTCAGACTGACTTGATGGTGCAGTGCCACCATCGAGCAAACTTTTTTTTATTGCATAGATCGGTAGACGAGCTCACAAACTGCCTAGTGTTAAGTGGTTAACGGAGCCCATAGATATCTACAACATAAACATCGCAACCCACCTTGAGATATAAGTTCTAAAGTCTCAGTATAGTTACAACAGCTGCATCACCCTTCAAACCGAAACGCATTACTGCTTTACGGCAGAAATAGGCGGCGTGGTGGTACTTGTAGTGTAGCAAAACAAAAATTTGTCACAACTGTCCGGATTTCAGCACCGACGGACCACTGCTTATATAATTTGACTAACACTTTATACTTACCCTCGCGGACTCGCAAGAGGTCCTACCACCAGTAATTACGCAATAAGTCGGTTTGTAAGCACAGGAACCCTATCTACGTGGTACTTACCTTATGACTACCGTCAATAATGAGCTCAGTGGTTGTGTCGCCGGCAGCGTCGTCGTCCCAGCTGTGCGCGGCGCTGACGGAGCAGCTGACCCGCACGGCCGGCAAGGTGGCGCAGCTGTACGCCAGCCTGCGCCGCGCGCCCGCCGCCGCCGCCGACCTCAGCGGTACGTCACACACACGCCGCACACACACGCGCCGCACACACACGCGCCGCACACACACGCGCCGCACACACACGCGCCGCACACACACGCGCCGCACACACACGCGCCGCACACACACGCGCCGCACACACACGCGCCGCACACACACGCGCCGCACACACGCGCCGCACACACACGCGCCGCACACACACGCGCCGCACACACACGCGCCGCACACACACGCGCCGCACACACACGCGCCGCACAACTACCACTTACTTCCTTATATCGAATTACTTTTTGGCGGGAACGCGACGAGTGAAGCCGCTTTCAGACTACGCTATAATATCATACTCATAGACATTATTTTTTTAAATTAAAAACTTAAAAATATAAAAATCAATTGTGTTCACCGACCCAAGTGACGGGGAGTACGCGTCTAGTTCACAAGATCTTTATAATAGAATCTGTACAGCTATTAATCAAGCCAATGCGGCTCTGATTCTCTCAAGTCGACCGCCCGCAGAGGTACCCCCGGTCCCCACGGCTGTATACCACCGACCTGTACCAAAGAGTAACGGCGATAAAATTGGAAATTTCAGACAACAGCCTCTCATATACACAATGCAATAAAAATGCTAATTACGTATATGCTATTCTCCAATAAACACTATAGCACGTAAATTCTAAAATTGCCTTTCGTAGACTATTACATTGATACGAAATAAAATTGAAAAGGTACAAGTTCTAAATATTACGAAATTAAAAGTACTATATTGTATTTAAATTGTAGGTTTGGAAGCCGCGATACTGGAGACGCAGAAGGTCCTGCGCAGCGCCGTGTCGGGGGGCGGGCCGGGGGACGCGGGGGGGCCGGGGGATGCGGGACCCCACAGCCTGACCCCCGCCGAGGGAGACGCGGGAGTACTCGATGTGGACTCCACAAGAGAGAAACTTGAAAATTTAGTTGCTAAAGGTATAGTATTTTAACACTTTATTCGTTGGATTATTAGTGGTTTTTTTTTTTTTTTTTTTTTTTATCAGGAGGAAATCGCCGGACTCCCACCCTCCACTGGGGATGGAGGGTGGGGCATGTCGGAGTCGAACCGACTAAAACCTCCTGTCGCTCAACAACCAACGTCCAACCCTCGCATGAGACAGAACTCATTAAAAAGCCAAGGCAAGGGGAGGAGAGTGAAACGTTTAGTGCGGAGCACATCTCTCCCATCACCCTCCCCCTCGGGACGCCGGGCCAGCGATCGTCGGCGCCACGACCACCAGCCCTCTCGGTCGGCAGGCTGTCCGAAGCCCGCCTAGATGGCGCCGGTTTGAATAGGTTATCCTACGAAATACCCCGCTGGGTCAGAACCAGCGTGGGTCGAGGATAGCCGGCCTTCCATCACCCGGATGCTCTTGCGTAAAACGCGTGCAGAGCAGCTTGCACGTCGTCTTCTTAGGCCCCCTTCGCCGGGCCCCAGACCGACATATGAGGGGGACCCGAAACACTTAGAGGGCCAGGGCTAGGGCGAGATCCGCCTCCCTGGCCCCCGCTCGACGGCGGCGGGCTTGTGCGTCTCTCACGCGCCCCGCCGCCTCCTTCTGCGAGATGGTGCACTCGCAGAAGTCGAGCATCGCCTTCCACGACTCGTCGCTGCCGAGCATCGATGCCACAACACTCGGCAACGACAAGTCGTTTCCTATTTTTGCGACGAGGACACGGCGCCACCCCTCCCATGCGGGGCAGGCAACGAGCGTGTGCTCCGCCGTGTCCAAGTCGCAACCACAATGGTAACACTCTGCCGTCGGCTCGGCTCCGATCCGGTGCAGGAACTCACCGAAGCAACCATGCCCAGTGAGCACCTGCGTGAGCCGGAAAGTGAGGCGTCCTCTGTCACGATTCACCCAATCCACAAGAATCGGGCGAATCGCCTCGACGGTCCTACGACCAGCCGAAGGATCGGCCGGATTGTTAGTGTAGTATATTCTAGAATCGAGCGCGACCTCAAAAATATCGGCGTCAAGAACTGGAAGGAGAAAGCCCTGAACAGAGCAGTCTGGAGAGACATACTGGACCAGGCTAAGGCCCACCCTGGGCTGTAAGGCCTAAGATGATGATGATGATGATGATATTCTAGAATCGGATTATGCGGGGGAATAGTTCTTTGTATCAGAGAACGGAATCATCTCGAGCAAGACTTCGGAGCACTCCTCGTGAAACATCCAGTACAAAAGTAGAGAGGACCTGCTTGCACCCGTAGACACTCCCAAGGGTCCGAGGTTATCTCGCTCACCTCGAGACTGGAGTCCTCTTAGTTTTAATTTATCGAAGGCTTAAATTGGTAATAATATACTTTTGTATACACGGGGTGTCCCAGAAAGAATGGATAAGCCTATTTCGAGTCCCCGATAGCTCTACTATGAGGTGTTTCAGGATTATTCATTCTTTTTGAGACACCCTATGTATGCCGACCACGGCCGAATGCTCGCAATCATCCACGAGCCATGTCCCCCCATATGGACCCCCCCCACTCTTAATGCAACCTACACTCACGGTTATCATTTATTCCAGAGGTCAACGCAACGAATCCAGCCATGTCTCTGATCGAGCAGTACTCCGACCTCCTCCTCAATATGATGCAGAACAAAATGGTGAACCAGTTCTCGTCCAGTCCGCAGAGTCTGCCGCCCAGCGCGTCCCGGGGGGCCGGCCGGGAGAGTTAGTACGGGGGGACGCTCCCACGGGTAGGGGGGGCCGCTCCTATGGGTGGGGGCCGCTCCCACGGGTGGGGGGGCCGCTCCTATGGGTGGGGGGCCGCACCCACGGACACCCTTGTAGAGAAAATGACGGTCCCCCACGTCCCCTCGTCACTCCCGAACACATCTGTACATTAGCGTTACGTTTTTAGTATTAGTATTAATTTGTGTATAATTTTGTAATGTAATTTTAACGATGCAAGACATTGAAATTCGCGCTTGACCGAAGGAAGCCTTTATTAACTGTAAAAAAAAAGAAAAACACGTTGTGTGATGTTTTTACGTCAGAAAATGCAATTAATAATCCGATAATGACGTGTACCGCACAAAATCGCGCATTTTACTGCGTATTGCGTCACTTGGGGCCAACGAACGCTGCCTATAGACCGTGCGCTGATATAAGGTCGGACACACTTTTTTTAATGCTTAGATGGGTGGACGAGCTCACAGCCCATCTGGTGTTAAGAGGTTACTTGAGCCCATAGACATCTACAACGTAAATGCGCCACCCACCTTGAGATCTAAGTTTTAAGGTCTCAGTATAGTTACAGCGGCTGTCCCGCCTTTCAAACCGAAACGCATTACTGCTTCACGGCAAAAATAGGCAGGGTGGTGGAACCTACCCGCGCGGACTCACAAGAGGTCCTACCACCAGTATATTGAGTTTTAAAAGGTTAATTTAAAAAAAATCATAAGTCGATCGAATTGTTTTTTTTATATTAGTTGTCATTTAATATTGTTATTTATAAAGCATTGCATCTCCATCAAACTATAACCTATAACGTGATGAGGGCGTTACCTATCGGCCCCTGTCGTACCGGCGTGGGGGCGAAGCACCCGCCGCTATAGGTCTTTATATACAAAAAGAACGTAGGCGGTTGTATATCGGAGACTATGAAACTGTTGTACGAACCAGTGGCGTGCAAACTTTTACAACTAGGACCCCTTTAGAAATGAGGAAATCCTTGATCACCCCTCTTGAAGGGAGTGATGTATTATGAGCTGCTGAACAGAGCGGGAAAAAAAATGGCGGCCATTAACAGTCTTCCCCCCAACCCCCCGTCCCCCGTGTTCGTCAACGCATAGACACGTGTAAAAGAGATCTTAGCGAACAGATACGATGTTTAACTTCTCAGATCGTGTGATATTAGTAATCGACAAAGACATTTTAAATGTAATTTGTAATTATTATAATTTTTTTAACTAAAAACGAACAACATTTGACTTAGCATTCCGTAAAGCGCTAACACCTTATTTACATTCCCGAATAATTGGAAATCGATATAGTAACTTATGCATCTAAGCTGGCACGTACCTCTGCTGGTTTCGATGGCGCCCAGAGGCGACAAGACGTCTCATGCGTGAGGCGTTTCCTTTAATCAATCACTCGAACTCCTCATCGACCTCAAGATGCGGAAGTTTCTGTTAACCCAACAACCACTTTCGACTAATGCGAAACTTCATATCGGCAAACTCTCTATAACCAAAGACAGGCGCGACTGCCCTACGTCATACATTACCCGTCCGCCGCCAATGTTCACACCGCGAGCGCTACCAACGCGTCAATGTACTTTAAAATAAATGTCAATGTTAATATATTGCTAAGCGCTAGGGTTCGGGATAAATAAAAATTCTACTGAATCACAAGTTAAAACTATATTCAACACTTAGAACACTTAAAACACTCAACAAACACTTTAAAACTCTCATTTCGCTTGTTCCGATTCGCTTCAGGTGATCCATTCGCTGTTTCGCTTCGAGTAGTTCCGATTACTGACTGCGTGCCATCTCTGCAACGCTTTTATAGCCGATACCACATCCCTAGAAATATTGAGAATATTCCACACATCTCTAGTACAGTTTCCGCTATCTGACAATAGATGGCGTTGTACTTCGCGAGCGTTCTAGGTGCTACTATATTCTTCGATATTCGTTCGACTATTCGGCGGTAGATGGCGTTACTCTTACCGGCGTAACAATATTAAGATGTAGTTAACTTCCAGCGTGCGTACCAGCATCCCTATCTTAATCAACGATCCTCTTTAATTAACCGTTTACCTAAACTACATATAAATCGCTGTGGTGTTTCATGATAATGACGTTTATAAAGTGGCTTTAGTGTAAATTAAGTGTAGACACCATTTTTTAATTTTCAACTCAATTATTTTAATGTTCAAAAATATATTTGCCATTTATGTAAAAGACTAATGTTTATTGTGTAATTAAATATTGTTTTTTTTTTAATTACAATTTATTATGAGTATTGTTTTGTTTTTTTTTTCTTTTTTCGTTTTCCAAATTCCTTGTCTGTGGTTCCTTCAATGGCGCGCGTCATGGATATTGGTCTCTGATTTTTACAATGGCAATTTTGAATTATTTAAGTAGATTTAAGTTCGCAGCGTATAAAATAAAACTTCTACTGTTCCAAAATCTTGGCTTTCGGTTTGGAATGGTAGGAAGTGCACGGACGACGGTAACCACTCACCATCAGGTGGGCCGTTTGCTCGTCTGCCTACAAGGGCAATAAAAAAACTTTAAAATCCTAACAAGTAAGATTTTTTCTAAGCAAATACGTATTTAGATCATGTTCTCAGACGACTTCGAAGATGAAGGATTAAATAAGTTGTTGCTTACAATTGTCGCCAAGGCAGTGATAACAACAATATTTATTTATTTTTCTACCTAAGCTGTTTGCATTGAAAGGCTATGTCAGCGTAACCTAACTAGTAGGTGAGCTCACGGGGCTCAAACCTGACGATGTTGCTAACACGAACCCTAGCAAGAGCAGTGCTTCGCAGAATCTACCACCGGATCGGAAACGCGACCTACTGAGGAGATCCGGCGAGAAACTCAGTGAGCTGTGTCTGTGGGTTAATTTACGGGTTCGACGAGATAATATTATTTGCAAGTTTACATTGCACTATTACATGAATATATAGGGTGTTACAAAACTATCCGTAAAGCCGAATTGAGGTTAAATGGGGCCTTATAACGAGTCCATTCACAATATTTAAGAACCGTAGTAACGCTGTATCAAAACAATAAAAAAATATAACTATTTTTACTGATGTGCAATCCCTCTTTCAGTAAAATTAAAGAGTAAACTACGCAGAATGTACCTACATTTCTACCTAATTCGCGGAAAGACAAAATTATTAAAAGATTTCAAACTGATTGCATTTTTTTTTTCAACTGACATTTTTTTAAGCCAGGACTTAAGTATAATGAGATCCTTGTATTGAGGTTGCAAACATTTATGAATATAAAATAGAAAAACTATATTTATTTTGTTTCCGACAACAATAAGTCCATATGTGTACATAGTATCATTGAAACATACTTAAAATTAACAAAACCAATGAAATAAAAAAGATACATTTATTCAAAATAATTATCAGTTTAATACATTTCAAATATTCCATTCAACTGATACTTACTTTGAACTAACCATTATTATTATTATTATTATTTAGTCCGCAAGTGAAAATAAAATAAAATAAAATTAAAGTAGACAATTTTAGGTAAAATAGGTACGTATGCCCTTCTGTTAAATTATCTGGTTCCCTGACATGACAGCTTACTAGGGTTGACAAAAATTTTAGGCTTTTATAATTAATTATATTTTTTACGGGGTATTTTGTAACACGTTGTATATCTTATATTTATTAAGGGTTAAAACACGTTTTTATTCTTGCATTTACTCGCACGATTGACGGCCATTTTGATTAGTTTGAACAGAGTAGCAGCTGATAGTTAAATAGAGCGGGAAATATTTTAATATTGCTCATTTACGTGTGTGTACTTTGACGAAACGGATTTTTTGTATAAAATTAAACTAAACGAATATGAAAGATGTGTTTTATTTCATAAAGAATAAGTGAAATCTGTTGTATCCCATAGAAACTTGTACGCAAGTAATGATAAAATAACAAAAAAATATGTTTTCGTTATTTCAATTGGGTACGTTAAAATATTGATGTTTTATTACCTTTGGTAGAGCGTCTTGTGAGCCATCATGAGCAGTTACCATCACCCTGCCGTGAAGCAGTAATGCGTTTCGGTTTGAAGGGCGGGGCAGCCGTTGTACTGTAAAAACTGAGACTCAAAACTCATGTCTCGGCGTGTGAGGCGACATTTACTTTGCTAATGTCTACGGGCTAAACTTAACACCAGGTGGGCTCTGATGTCGTCCACCCAACTAAACCATAAAATAATGTATAATTAAAGCGACTGTTTGTTGGTATGTTTGGGCCTTCTTAAACCATTAACCGATTGTGACAAAACTTTCTAGAGCTAGTAATAAAAATAATTAATAAAACAAAAAACACTTAGATATATATAAAAAATATACATTATTTACAAAAAAAAATAATTAAATTAATACGAATTATTTATCTCTGACGTTACGTGTTTGATTGCGAATCCTGTGCCTAATTTATAACTATGAAACTATGGAGGGTAGAGGATTTTTTTCCTACATATTCTGATAGCTTTGACAGGGCTATTTCAGCTTCGCCTTAGCGTGTGGCTGAGCTCTCGGGGCTCAAACCGGGAATGTCGCTAAGACTGATCCTAGCTAGAGCAGTGCTTCGCTTCGAGAAGATCCGGCGAGAAACTCAGTAGGCTATGTCTGTGGGTTAATTTACTAGTCGGACGTCTAGACGGGTTCGACGAGGGCGGTGACCGCACGACACTTTTTTATACACTAAGATGGTGCTCCTTCTATCTATCCTCCATATATAAAACGCTAAATTATTGTCTATGAGCTCGATACTGGCAACAATGGCGACGGAAGAGGTCGATGGCCATGCTTAAAAAAAAGAATACGAAAACTGTTACGACTGCTCTGGGGTAGACCGGTATTATAAAAGAGTGGACTAGTAATTGGTAAATGTATAAAAAGAGTAAAACAAGTAAGTGTCGCGAGCGGCGCCGCGCGTCCTTCGATGTCCGTGCATCAACAGAGGAGGACAGCCGCGCGGGGTCGCAGATTTACGCCGGCTTCGACACTTCGTGCAGCAACGCCGCCCGCGACACTTACTTGTTTTACTCTTTTTATAAATTTACCAATTATTGCAGTCCAGTCTTTTATAATACCGGTCTACCCCAGAGCAGTCGTAACAAAAACATTTCGTTTTATCAACGGGGTTCGTCGTCACAATCGCTTGAAACACTAAATTTATACGAAGCCTTCTTAATGAGTCCGGTCTTGATCAGAAAGTCTAAGATCGGTCGACGTATTCTCTCTCGGTGAGATGTAGACCTGATTCCTGTAAAGTAAAACTGTAATCAGAAATGAGGAGGACATCCATAGAAGCCAAGTTGCTGACATAGCCCGTAGGATTATACAAGCTGAAGCGGCAGTGCGCGAACCAAAGTTGCTGACATACTTTTGTTGTAACTGTGCTGAGACTTAGAACTTATATCTCGAGGTGGGTGGCGCATTTACGTCGTAGATGTCTATGGGCTCCAGTAACCACCTAACACCAGGTGGACTGTGGGCTCGATGACCCGTCTAAGCAATAATAAAAAAAAACATAGCCCGTAGGATTAGCTGAAGTGGCAGTGGGCAGGTCACATAGCGTGAAGATCGGACTGCAGATGGGGCAGAAAGATCCTCGAGTGGATACCACGTACTGGCAAGCGCAGTGTGGGACGGCTACCAACCAGATGGACCGAAGGCCTAGTGAAAATCGCTGGGTCACGCTGGATCCAGGTGACAATGGAACGGCCGCACTGGACTGGGGAGGCTTATTCAAGTTCTGCAGTGTACAGTGGACAAGCTAAGATGAAGATGATGAAAACTATAATATTAATGAGTTCGTAGGTACGCCTTCACGGTGTTTCCCGAGCGCTCTGACATGTCCTTCTTCAAACGAGGCTTGTTGAGAGTACTTAAGGCAGCGGCTTGGCTCAGCCCGTGGCATTACTGACGTCTATGGGCGACGGTAACCAATCACCACAAGGTGGGCCGTAAAAAGATAGCATTCGTTCCCTTGTGACTATTGAACAGTTTTTGTTTTCTTTCCTACCTAAGTTGATAGTCTTAAGAGGCTATATCAGCGTAACCCTAGCCTGTAGGTGAGCTCTGGGGGTCAGACCAGGAGTCGCTAGCACTGGTCCTAGCAAGAGCAGCGCTTCGCTTAATCTACCACCGGATCGGAAACGCGACCCACTGAGCAGATCCGGTGAGAAACTCAATGGGATTGAACAGTGTCATTAACTGCGGAACTCACTGGAGACGGCTCGTAGCGGCTTCGTGATCAGCTGGGGGCCGAATTCGTATATAACTTGGAGATCAGCGTGGTTTCCGAAACGAAAACCGAATCCGAACCGATGGTCGCTGACTGTGAACAATCCTACTATTACTAGTGGTCCTAGTATTACGGGTGGTCGACATTTTTTTTATTGCTTAGATGGGTGGACGAGCTCACAGTCCATCTGGTGTTAAGTGGTTACTGGAGTCCATAGACATCTACAACATAAATGCGCCACCCACCTTGAGATATAAGTTCTAAGGTCTCAAGTATAGTCACAACGGCTGCCCCACCTTTCAAACCGAAACGCATTACTGCTTCACGGCAGAAATAGGCAGGGTGGTGGTACCTACCTGCACGGACTCACAAGAGGTTCTACCACCAGTAATTACGCAAATTATAATCCTATCAAATCCTTGGAGGCTTAAGGGGCTATTCCACATGAACAGGTAATAGAATGCGCGGGCCTCGACTTGAGAGGACTTGCTAATACTAGCTCTACCAAGAGCAGTACTTCGCTGGATCTACCACCGGTGTGCTTAATACGAGTTTTTTAACGTTCTCTACAATAAAACAAAATTTGAGCCGAAATCGGATGTTGCCACCAAAGCAATCAGGCTTAATTACCTGGGATGCTTCGCCACTGAAAGTTTTTTGAAGTAAAAACTTCTTTAGAATCGTTGTGATTTCAAACCGGATGCAACGGAAAAAACGACAGGTAAGAGACACAAATACAAAAATGTGTAGGATGAAGCCAGCAAAGAATGAGATAGAAATATACATACTATTTAATACAGCGCCATCTGTGAGATTTTTTAATACTAACGTGTGTATGAAAGCTCTTGTAGTGAATTTTAATTTAGGATTATNACAGCGCCATCTGTGAGATTTTTTAATACTAACGTGTGTATGAAAGCTCTTGTAGTGAATTTTAATTTAGGATTATACGTGAAATTAAAATATCAATTCACAGAGGGCGCTACCTTACAATTATTTACTAATGACAAAATTTTACATATACTTAAGACGTTTAGGATAATTGTATTTTAATTTTGGAAGGTTTCACTTCTCCTCCTCCTCCTTCAGTCGATCGCTCATTGCTGAGCATCGTGATGCGCCCGCCTGTGACCTTTTTTTGTAATTTGTAGCCACTTATGTCGGTCTGTGGCACAGTGAAGTGCGTGGCTCAGTCTCATGTCCAGACACTCAGACACTTGGTCACTCCATCTTTTTCGGCTACGACCTCTGGATCGTCTTCCATCACTTCTACCACGTGTGAATTGCACACATTTTGTTTTTTTTTTATTTTGTTGTTTAAGTAGCTTAAGCCATGCTAATGATTTTAGTTGCAGACCTTACCTTTACGGATGGGAGGGAAGAAGCCGTATATGGCGGCGAAAGCGGTCGGTACGTCTTCAGGTATGACCGGCACGCAATACACGCCTGCACCTGATCGACAAAGAAGACGAAATTTTACCAAAAAAGAGAAACGACGTCTCGTGAGTCCGCGCGGGTAGGTACCACCACCCCGCCTATTTCTGCCGTGAAACTCGTGTCTCAAGATAGGTGGCGGCATTTACTTTGTAGATGTCTATGGGCTTCGGTAACCACTTAACATCAAGTGAGCCGTGAACTCGTCCACACACTAATGCAACGAAAAAAAAATGTTACCATCACCCTGTTGTAACTATACTGAGACCTTAGGACTCATATCTCAAGGTGGGTGGCGGAATTTACGTTCCGGTAACTATTTAACATCAGGCGGGCCGTGGGCTCGTCCAACCATCTGAGCAATAAATAAATAAAACATGTATGTACTTGTTATTACTTACCGCATAAGATTAATCCGAAAATTTTCCACAGCATTGCACTTTTGTATTCAGGAATTATTTTCAGAGAGACTGTAAAAGCAATTGGTTCGTAGTTAAACGAATCGATGATGATGATGAAATAAATGAGGTGTGAGGTGAATAAGTGAGGTTACCGACATTATATATTATTTTAAGATCGTTAAAGGTTTGGTGGATTGCCCGGAGCTCTTATCCAAAGTTGATTTCAATGCACAGAGAATATCTTTAAGGCATCGAAATCTAATTTCTTTGCCACTAGCTTCCACTAACTATAGGCAAAACTCATTCTTTTTACGTGTTGGTGGTGACCTCAACAGACTTGGCAGGTTCTTAGATATTGACCCATTTTATTCCTCTATCACAGGACTTAGACGTCAGCTTAGTGCCCGATTTTTCGTGGGCGATGAGGGGGCAGAGGGTGCGGGGCCATGTGCCGGTGACGTGTAGCACAACAGTTTTTAATTAATTTGTGACATTTATACATAAGTGTACATTTAAATTAGTCTGGTGTTTTCCTCCATTCCTTATGTTGTTTCTTGCTTGCTGATTGTTTTTAATTATTTTTTTTGTTTCTATGCTTTTGTTTCTCTAGTGTTTTTAATTTGTTTATATTGGTGAGAACCTTTAATTGGCTTTTTGTTTCTATTATTTGTTATATTATTTTACTTTTTTAGTTGGCTGTTGGTTCTCCTTGTATTAAATACATAAATAAATAAATAAATAAATAAATAAATAAATTGGTGATTTGTAAAATGGTGGTTATTTACTGAGATATCGGGGTTTTTTTTTATTACCCTTATAGGTAGAAGAGCATACGGTCCACATGACTGAGTGGTTTCTTTACATTTTTCATACCTTACATTATACATAGTTCATTACAAAATATACACAAAAACTGAAAAAACTAGCTTGACCCGATTCACTTTGGCTTTGAGGTGAATCAGGCTACGTATGAGTTTTTCGACAGGGACGTATGAGTTTACGTATGAGTTATTCGGGGACAATAGAGTTTTTCGACAGGGCTGGCACTATTTAGTTCTTAGGTTAGTAGGTAACTTTAGGTAATTAACTTTTTAATATGGTTTATGAGTTACAAAACTTTGATGAATAAATTAAACTATTTACTAGCAAAATAGGTACTGGCAAAATAGGTACTCATTAGCAATTGGAGGTATTCATTTGTATGTTAAGTTTGAATCCTCTATTAACGCCGTCTGTTGACGCTTCGTGACAATATGCGTGGCTCAAGAAAAAAAAATGGCGATAAAAACTAAATTACGCACTAAGCGGCCGGTCTCAAAAACGAAAATCAGCCAAATTGTTCATGAATTTTCACAGATAGTTGTCGAGATACCAAACATCAAAGAGTTTCAAAAGTGGGTTAACCAATTTATCTTTTTTCTTGAACCAACAACAATGAACACATAACAAATTACAGTCAAACCTGGATAAGCGAGAGTTCAAGGGAGCACAATCTCATTCTCGCTTAAAGAGGTTTCTCACTAACCCGAGTTTCTCGCTAATGCACCCTCTGAATTTAATTTCGCAATTTTCTGGATTCAAACGCGTTCACTATTTTAAGTTTATCACTTAATGACAGTACTTAAATTTTCCGTTTTGACATGATGCAAAACAGAAATTTCCTTCGCAATTAATTAACGATAAACTGAGTAAGTCCGACAAATAGGACGGTACACAGGCACACGTGTCCATTCGAACAGAATGCGATAAAATATCAACGTTATTTAGTTCCAGGAAATAGAATAGGTTCGATATTGACGAGAAAACAATACAAAAACAACGGTAGGAAGTTCCACGAAAATTAAGAATGAGTCATAAAATAGCAGAAGTTAAATTTGTAATTTGTTATGTCATTTGTTTCTCCTAAATAATATAAATAAATAAAGCTCGACTGTCGCTTATAGAGGTATAGATAAGTAGCAGTCTCACTTACGGAGGTCCATGAGGGAAAAACGACTCTCTCTTACAAAGGTTTCTGTTTTTCGCTAATAGAGGTTTTGGGAGCTTAAAATGACGGTTCCTGGCTATTACTCTCACTTATAGAGTTTTCTCACTTATCCAGTTCTCACTTACCCAGGTTTGATTGTATTTAAATATTATTGCACACTTTTAATTAAGTACTATGTTCAATCCAAGAGGTAACTATTGACTGAGGTTATTTATCATGAAAACAATAGACGAATATATCGATAGTCAGTTTTATTGTTTTTAATTTTTCCCACAGGTGTACTATGTGTTGAAACAAAAATTCTCACAATTCTGTAAAGGTTTGTATAGGGCTTGTATAGTATCAAACTACCGATCAACTGGCCGTTTTTTACAAGTTATAGTTTAGGTATCTATGACTTATTTAACAGAATTACAGAAGTTTTACGTTTTAATCTAGCGCGTTTTTTATTTTCATACCAATATATAAATCTACAGTGGATTCTACGGATGTTCCGTTATAACTACTGAACCATACATCCGATTGACTTGAAACTTGGTATCCACGTAGAAAATAGTACATGGACTTAATGTATAGCCCCCCTCACTCACAAAAAAAAATTGTAACTGTTTTTTAATTTTTAAATAAACTACTACTAATTGAATAAGAACTGTCTGATGAACTCATCTTTATTTAATACTTCACTATTAAATTTTATTGCCTTTTGTTTATTTCTCTTTTACACTAAACTCTATTACTCTTCCCTTCATGTTTTAAGAAACGTTATAGTAAATACAAATAAATTGATAATGTTGTTGCAGTAAAAAAATATTTATTTAAATAAACGTAATACAAAAGGCTTTAATAATGAAAATTATTGTAATTAAAAAATGTAAATGACAAACAAAACATACTTTTCTTTGCATATTATGTATATACATACTAGAGGTCCCGCAGTAGTCGAAATTCGACTATAATTAATTGAAATTGTCAGTTTGTACACTATTATGATTGTATTTTATACTTCTGTAACCACAAATTTCGCCAAAACTACATTATAAAAAATATTAACAAAGACCAACAATATTTAATCTATTCTCAATTTGACAACAGACGTCAAGAACAAAAGTTTGACAATAAATAGTATGCATGCGTGTGTGCGTCAAATACATGGTATGTAGTGTGTGTAGTGTTTTCTTTATTGATTAAATGTATCTTTTAAGCATTCTTTTAAAAAAATATTAGCATTGTGCACTTCTTCTCTATATTCTCTATAAGTGTGGAAAATTTCATACTCCTTCGTTCGCGCAATTTTCGTAAAAAGGGATACAAAGTTTTTGCTTCACGTATTAATATATAGATAATATGTCGTAGGATAGGTTGTAGTGGTGCGTACACCACATTACTAGCACTTGCAATTTCGTATTTTGTATGGCATGCCTACATTTACCAAAACGACATGGTCATTGTGAATTCAATGTACATTTCCCTTTTTTGAAATTGTAAATGTTAGTTGAATGCACATTGCCCAAACGAGGAGGCAAATGTGCACATTTACCGGAAAAGGTGTACATTTGCCGCAATATCTAAGCATATAAGCAATAAGCATTCCCGATACTGAGGACCGAATGGTAAACAGTCGACGTCGCCCAAAGCACGTCATATCGGATCCTCCCAATCCATTGACGGTGCTTTTAGGTACCTCAAGCACCGGTCATCGTGCTCGCCGAACTCGTCGCTTGCGACGAAGGGCTCGACGAGTAAATTAACCCTCAGACACAGCCCACTGAGTTTCTCGCCGGATCTTCTCAGTGGGTCGGATTTCCGATGCGGTGGTAGATTCAGCGAAGCACTGCTGTTACTAGGGCTAGTGTTAGCAGCGTCATCAGGTTTGACCCCTGTTAGTTCACCTAATCGCTCGGTTAAGCTGGCATAGACCCTCAAGGCTACCAGCTAAGGTAGGAAAAAATGCTGCTTGAATTGAACCCGACCCATTAAATTAACTATTAGACGCCTGCTACTCTGGCACTAGGAGTAATCTTAGGGATACTGGTATATTTGTAACTGTATTCGTCGAATTCGCCCAAGACTTCCACGGGAGTAAATGCCTTCGCGAAGCCACTGCCCTTGAGCTGTTAAGTCTCCTTTGGAGGCGCTCGGGCAGCTGTTAGCAAATCCCACTCTTCTCTGAGCCCACGCTCACCCACTTGCCCTGGAGAAACTTGGAAGGCATAGGGATCATCAGTAATGAGGCCTTCAAAAAAAATTTCATATGACAGTATTTATTGAGCTAGTGAGATATTTTACTCACTCGGTCGAAGATCCTTCCTTTGTCAATATTTCTGAACAAATTAACTAATAATCATAGTTATAATATTAGTAAGAAATAAGTATGCTCTCGGTAAAAAATGGCATACAAATTTGAGTTAACTTCTACGCTATCGAGAACGTTAAAAAGCTCGCACTAAGCACACTGATTCTCAAACTCGTCCGGAAGCATGTCAGTGCCGGTGCGTTAGTCCCTGATCCGACTCACGCAGATCAAACTTTTAAGAAGCCGCGTAAAACGAGTAATTAATTTCGACTCTGAAATCTGATACACAGCACTAAATAGTGTTGTAGTCAGCGGCTTGGCTTTGCCCCTGGCATTGTTGCTGTCTATGAGCGACGGTTACTCGCTCACCATCAGGTGGGCCGTATATTCGTCTGCCTACAAGGGCAATAAAAAACAAAAAAAAAATACTAAATTAGAAAAATCAGGGAGCACAGCAGCAAGGTAGGGATGATCGATATTAGAAAAACATCGATTTAAAAGTATCGATGTACGATAAATATCGATAGCAAAACATCGATGTTTTTTGGTAGGAAATAAAACTGTCTATTTTATTTATTATACGTGTTTATTTAATAAAATTACGTTTTACGGATTATAAGCGGGCGTTTAATTGTTAGACTTGACTCCGACATCGCACTTTACAATTTACATTTTCTTAATTTCACACACATTTATGTAGTACGGCTTACTTCGATTACGTCAATCAGTTTCGCCTAGTTTAAAATAGTTGTACTACCTAGGGACTCACTAGCTAGTAAGTAAATCTACCGTTAGATGGCCCTAAAAGATTTATGGACGTTTCGATAATTCGATATTTTCTTGTCGATGTTTTCCAGCTAGACATCGATGAGTATCGCCATCCCTATCCCAAGGACGCCCGGCCGACGGAGCCTTCGAGGCGAATAGAAGGTTCTGAAACGTCGGCCGTCTCGGTACGGCAGTTCGTCAGGCCGCCCAGACGGTGCCGCTGGTGTCCCGGAATACCCCGCTGGACTAGAACCAGCCTGCCCGGTCGGGACTGGCTTACACTGTCAACCGATTTCTCAAATGATACTCTTTGGCAGCGCGCTGGAGTGATGATGGTAGAGCGCCGCGCGGCCTCCACCGCGTCAGGTCGCCCCTTGATCTTGAACATTTTTTACCAAATCTATCTTTTTTTGTAATTTCTTCCTTGCGTAGTCATATTTTTGGCAAAATTTCCAACAAATATCAACTATTTTACGTTTTTTTCTAGTTAATGCAATATAAATCACATAAATAGGCACTGTTAGTCAAAGTTTATTTAATAGCTATACAAAAATAAATAAAACAAACATGAAAAAAAGTTGATTTCGGTAATTTGAATGAAATTTGAATTTGGTATGAAATTTAGTTTCCTTATTGTAGGGTTTTTTTATATTTTTACGTACATATAAATAATTTTATATTATTTTGGCCGGTCAATCGATTACTTGTAGAAAACATTTTGTATATAACCAGTATTAACCAGCATTATGACTATAATCTCTACATAGTACATATCATACTTAGTCAGCTAATTATTTTCCTTTAAATTTCTGCATTTGCTATCGCCATTTGCCATTTATATTGCCAATATATATTATATATATTAATTTCATTTCATTTCATATTTAATACGAGTGGAGTAGACGCGATGCGCGTCCAATCTACTTACAAAAACAAGCACAGTCCGAAGACTGTGCGACTTTCAACCTCATGTCTCGCACGAATATGCTTACGCAGCTTTCTTAAATAAACCGGCGTACAAATCCATAGCGCGATTCAGAATTACTGGACAGCGCCACCTATTGATGACATTCCATAACGTGAAGAAAAGCTTGTGGAATTTTGTGCTAAATATTTAGTGTTTATTGTCTCAACGTGAATGGTTTCTGCCTCTGCTCCAACCTAGTGAATCCGGAATCCCTATCGCATGTTTAAATTGAAAAACAAAACGAGGATCAGCATTTTTAGGTTATTTAATATAAAAACCACTTCAATTTGCAATACAATAAAGCATGAAACAGTAATCTAACAAATTTCACGTTAACCTCAAAACCAATCACGGTGCATAAGTGCATAGATAAAATACACTTAATATTTCATTTGAGCATCAACTACTGTAAGTTCTTCGTTTATATATTGTATAACAAGCCCCAAACTCTGTCAGATGGAATGAAATCGCGTACACGTTTGGGAAAATTTAGTAAGCTTGCGCGGCAAATTTTGAGATTCAATAAATAAAATGGCGCATTTTTAGATAGCGAGGTCCACAATTAGGACTGCCACCCGTACTTTATAATAAAGTATTGCACGTTATTTCAGGTAATTGCACTCTATACTTTATGTGAACAATAAAGTCCACGAAAATACTTTATTTGGCATGTTTAGGTTTCTTTGGGATTTTGAAAAGTTTAGTCATATGTGTTTTTTCGATAAGCGAAATACCTACACTACATCACCTGAGCACTCGTTTTTTTAACAAATATTACACTGAAGTATGAATATATTCTAACCATTTTTTTTTTTCGGGCCGATGGCCGAACCTCCTACGAGGTTCCCGCGCCTAGGGGGCGCGCGGGGTATGTGAGACTCAACGATCTGCAGGTGTTGAGAGCAGACCGCGGGCCCAAGGAATTTAGGGCCCACCCACTAAACGACTCCCCTGCACTCTTACACCCGGCGTCCGATCTCCGTCCGGGGTCAGAACCCGTTCAGAGTAGGGGGGTTCCCGCGGTCAACACTACAACCAGACACGCGGCGCCACCCCGAGGACGCCCGACCGACGGGTCGTCGAGGCGATAGTCGACGACCAACGAATATATTCTGACCAAACTTAACTTAAATTTCAACAATGTCATTGTCATTAATTGTCACAAAGTCTTGTCTAATTTGTTCAATGGTAATAAAAACTGTTTTTATATAAATTATAATAATAAAAAATAAATTGTACTTTATTTTAATACTCTGTAAAAAAATTTCCTACCTATAGCAACCAATGTACTTTATCTACAAAAAAAAGGTGGCAACCCTTTCCACAACCGGCTGTGAGCATACCGATATCGCGGGCATAGATTATACACTTAATATATTTGAGATAGATGCGCAACTCTCATTTTTATTTTTGCTTTAGTTAGAGCCCGGGACAGCAGGCGTCGCTGCTGTCGATTATTAGTCTCCCTACCCCCCACCAGGTGGCGTTTTTAGTAATTTTAATATTTTTTATAATTAACTCTCTTTATGAAAAAATCTTATCGTTTAGAATCGCTGAAATTCCCGGTTGTACTTATGAAATATTAAAGAACGTTTGATTGTGTTCAGCATTCTAATCGATAAGACCTTTTCATACAGAGAGAAAACAGTTTTTTTAAATAAAAAGCTGTAATTCTCTGTAAGCTATTTAATTTCCCTATATTACAAACAATTTACTGTTAAAAGATAGTATGAACGTACAATTGTATAAAATTTCGAATAACAATAACTCCTCTAGANGGCTAACTTTACGCGAATGCACATTATTTTATTTATTTATTTTTTAATTTTTTTAATTAAACTGTATACCAATTAATTGATCCTTCAGGATTTATAATTGTTTTTTTTTCACGATTAAAACCGCGTAGAAAGTTTAGGCATTATAGTTGACGCATGCGCCATAGATTATACACTTATGGCATGCGCAGTACACATATTTGGTATACATTTATTCAACTAATACAATTAATTAAACAAAAAATGAGTAATTTCGAAAGAGAACAAACGTATTTTATATAAGAACAATCGAAAATGAATATTTACGAGTAATTAAGGGCGAAAAAATATTAAAAATTGCAATCGAGGGGCTAACTTTTAGATATATTTTTAATAATTTTTTTAAAATAAATAAATGGGGAACAAACAATTATTAACAATGAACAATCAAGAACAAATGATGAACAAACGAATTAATAGAAAATAAGTAGAAAACAGGAAAAAAAAAATTTTTTGAGGGGCTAACTTCATTCACCCCTGATCGCGGGCTCACGTAATATACTACATACAATTCAAACAAGTATGACGTAGTCAACTATGATTAGTTTATTAGATCAATGTTTTACGCTATTGGAAGCTAGTATTTTTTTTCTCTTTACACTCTCCTTTGTTTAAGGACAAAATATTACTATAAATAATTTGAACATTGACCACTTAAAACATAAAATTGCTTTTGTGTGACGCGACAAATCTATGCATTAAATAGTTCTGAGATAACATTCCGTTATAAGAGATTGATCTAATGTTTAGAGTGAAGTTAACATTTAGAAAATACTTTTGCCTAAATGAATTTTGACTATTTTGTTACCAGATACGTTTCCTGCACTTTCTTTTAAATTATTTTAGCTAACTAGGTAATGTTTTTAATTTTAAAGTTTTAATTCTAGAATCAAGGACGGATTAATCTCGTGGTTATCCAACAATGTATTGAAGGATCGTTTATATAGTTAACTGGCGGATTTTAATTAGGTTCATATTTAAAGTAAGACATTACTTCACAAGAATATAATCTATGGTAGAGAGTACACACTAAAAGCCCGCGGCTTTTTGGCGGGAATGCGAGGAGTGAAGTTGTGTGATTTGTTTTATTTTGTCTATTTAGTTTTTCTTGAGATTTAAATGTGTAATAACGGTGGTTTATTAGCTGTTTAATATCTGCGAACGTGCACAAAAGTGGGAAAATGAAACAAAGCCGCTGGACGTAACTTCTCGGGTTCCTCCAAAAAGTCCACTGAAAAATTCTCAGTAAATACCATTTTACTGAGATCAAATTTCATCCCATATCATCTCATGTAATTTAATTTCATCCCAGTTGATAAATGTCTCAAATTAATCACCTTCGTTTCATTTCATTTCCCTCCATATTATAATTGTTATAAAAATAAGAATAATATAAATTAAAATATGACATGACTTAAAGGTCTTAATTACCAGGTCATAAAATTCCTTTAAAAAAAACTAAGAGCGCGCCAAAGCTGTAATATTTCATTATTATTTTATTCTAAAACCTGTTTTATTTGTGTATTTGTACATATTTTAAACACTGTCTAACCTCTTTTCTTTGTTGCTTAATTAAACACCGACACGTCCAACAATTAAGTAAGTACATACTTATTTAATTTTATAATATTAAATACTGTAATTAAAATCTCGTTTAAAATCTCTCACAAATTAAATAAATCTCATAATAATCTGCTTTAAATTGGTAATATTTCTATAAATAACCGAATTTGTCTTGATAACATATATTTTTGTAAATATTTTATGTTCGCTGCCATTGCTCAGTTTTAAGTTTTTTTAACATAGAATATTTATTCTTCGCGTGTCCAACCACTAGATGTCATTAAAATAACAAAAAATACTTCATGGTTTTGAATTTCATCGCTAGATGTCACTGTAACAATTTTATCCGCAACCATCGTGTCTGTACAAACATAAATATCTTAATTTTAATTATTCAGACTAAGATACAGTTACTCAAGCCACAAACAAAGATACGATCGGTTTTAGTATTACATAGGCTAAATACAAAACAAAACTAAGAGTGACGAGCTTCACAATTTGATGCAGGATGAATAATCTGAAAGAAAGAAAAATGTTGATCAGCGCCATCTCTGATGTGTCATAAGCAATATAATTGAACTTCATGTTTTTTAAATTGATAACTAAATTTTATTTTATAATTAAAAATAAGGGCAGTCATCTACGAAGACGATAACTGGAATGCCACCGTGATCTCCCATTAAATTTGATTGATGAGAAATTGAAATTCAATTTCAAGTCGAATCGAAATAACGGATTTACTTGAATTAGTGAGAGGAGAGTGACAGAGATTGCTTTTTATACAAAAAATTAATTAAAAAAATGATTGTAAATTCGGTTTACGGACGACAGTTTTACGTGATGACGTCAGTAGCGGCACTATTCGAACTGCTGGCTGTGACGTCACGCGAGAAGAGAGATAAACGTGTCAGAAGCCAACGTTTCAGACTCGGGCGGAACGTGACACTTTTTCGTGCGTGCAGCCGGTGTTCATCTATTTTTATGACTTTATCACGTCGTAACACATCTCATTCCCACGGGCAACTGTAGACACTGACCACGTGTCGAAACTGCGGTAGACATCTAGTCTAATATGTAATTAGATCAGTTTATAGAAAAAAGAAAAAAAAATGTTAAAAAAATTCTAATTAAATACCTTGTCCATTTTTTTCTGGCTTCGGGCAGAGAGGACAGGTCGTCCTTAAGTAGATACACACGAAGTCCTGTGGAGGCATAATGTTTATTATTATTATTATTTGATTTAAGCGACATTTTTGCAACTTCACAGGAGTTTAAAATTTAACGGTAGGCAGCGGCTCGGCTCTGCCCCTGGCATTGCTGAAGTCCATGGGCGACGGTAATCGCTCACCATCAGGTGGGCCGTACGCTCGTCTGCCAACATGGGCAATAAAAAAAATGGGCAAAATATCATAAAAAACAACTTCAGCAATTTTTTTTTTATTGTTTAGATGGGTAGACGAGCTTACAGCCCACCTGGTGTTAAATGGTTACTGGAGCCCATAGACATTTACAGCGTAAATGAGCCACCCACCTTGAGACATGAGTTCTAAGGTCACAGTATAGTTACAGCGGCTGCCCCGCCCTTCCAAACTGCAACGCATTACTACTTCACGGCAGAAATAGGCAAGGTGGTGGTACCTACCCGCGCGGACTCACAAGAGGTCCTACCACCATTTGAATGGGGTAAACATAATTGAAGTTCAATTAGAAACATCAAACTGTTGATGCTGATGCCAAATAAAACGCGCCTTTAATTACAAAGATAAATGTGGCGTGTTAAACGAAATGTCGCTTGAACTAAACCTCTTTTTTTTTTCTTCCTACTTAAGCTTAGAGTCTTGAGAGGCTATTTCAGCATAACCTTAACTAGTAGGTGAGCTCACGGGGCTCAAACCTGACGAAGTTGCTAACACTAGCCCTAGCAAGAGCAGTGCTTTGCAGAATCTACCACCGGATCGGAAACGCGACCCACTCAGAATATCCGGCGAGAAACTCAGTGGACTGTGTCTGAGGGTTAAAACCCAAACCTCGATAATGTATACATATTTTTCTCTTACCGACTAGGAAGGTCTCGCACATATAGTCCCAGGACATATCGGCTATGTTAAACGGGAATATGACTTTGTCGTCGTCCGGCAGCGAGCCCCACATGTCCCGGACTCCGTTGTCGCTGAACTGCCAGTCCTGGGTCGAGAAGTAGAACAGGATGTTGGTCAGCTTCATCACCTTCTTGTAGATCTTCACCATCCTGTAACGAGCGTTCGATGTTGGACGAGAGACGGTTTTTTGTTTGAGGACATCGCTTTGATAGTCGACTTCAAAAGAGTAGGAGGTTATCAAGTGTATTTTCTTAATATAGTTTTATTAGCTTCAGACGTATGTATGTTAGTATGTAACGGAATCTTTGAACATGATTTTGATCCCGTTCAAAACGTCGGATTAACTCGAAGTTTGGCATATTTAATAAGCGGTTTTTTATTGCGCATCTGTGACTATTATCTATGACATCTATGACAATTTAATATTAAAAAAAATGAAAAAATTAAATTCAACTAACAAATAAAAAATAATTTAAAAAAAACAAAAAAATACGCTTTTATAGCAAATCCGACTGAAAAATAGAAAATAAATTCTAATAAATTTAAATTAAAAATAGTGTAAGAAAAAATGATTTTATTGTAAAAAAAGCGTGGGGTGCTTTTCAGGATATTATCAAAATAGCCCTTCTACTCATATCTGTTCATAAAATATTTATAGCTACTGATACCATGCACTATTAAATTATTAAAATTTATTTTCAATTTTTTTGTTGGATTTGCTATAAAAGCTTATTTATTTAATTTCTTTAAACTATTATTTATTTTTAATTTTTTAGTTGAATTTCATTTTTTTTAAATATTAAATTGTCATTTGTCCTTAATATGTATACCAAATTTCGAGTTAATCCGCCGTTTTGAAAGGGGTCAAAATCATGTTCAAATATTAGTTCATATCCATAACATACTAACATACATACGTCTGAAGCTAATAAAAGCGTTTTAAAAAATAGTATTCTTTGACAATTAAATATAAAAATTATAATACGTACGTAGCCTTCTTGCCCGCCAGGATGAAGTATATGTCGACAAAAAGCGCCGGTAGATAGTGCAAGAAGAAATTGTAAAACAGGAACATGTAGTAATTGTTGGTCGGATTCAATCCGTAGTACCTGGAAACAGTAAATGTTTATATAGTTAACTAGCCGTACTCGCCCGCTTCGTTGGGCACTTAAAATTAACATTATTATATATTGTCATTATTATTAGGGAGTCCAACGCTCATATAAATATTAGCCTATCCATTAAGTACATTTATTTTCTACATGGATACCAAGTTTCAAGTCAATCGGATGCATGGTTCAGTAGTTATAACGGAACATCCGTAAAATCCACTGTAGATTTATATATTAGTATAGATGGAAAAGACAACTTTACTTGTTCAATGATAAATACATCGTTTTTTTTATTGTATTGCCCTTGTAGGCAATCAGGGATACGGCCTGATGGTGACTGGTTGTCGTCGCTCATGGAAATCGTCATGGTCTAATGGATAAGGCGATGCATTCGTATGTAGCGATGCAACGGTGTTCGAATCCCGCAGGCGGGTACCAATTTTACTAATGAAACACGTACTTAACAAATGTTTACGATTGACTTCCACGGTGAAGGAATAACATCGTGTAATAAAAATCAAACCCGTAAAATTATAATTTGCGTAATTACTGGTGGTAGGACCTCTTGTGAGTCCGCGCGGGTAAGTACCACCACCCTGCCTATTTCTGCCGTGAAGCAGGCAGCCGTTGTACCGTACTGAGATCTTAGAACTCATATCTCAAGGTAGGTGACGGCATTTACGTTGTAGATGTCTATGGGCTTCGGTAACCACTTCACACCCGGTGGGTTGTGAGCTCGTCCACCTATCTATGCAATAAAAATAAAACATACACCTACAGAGGATGTTTTTAAACAATGTTGAAAGCGATAATTGTCTCAGAATTTACTTACTAGTAAATGAGTCGACTATTATCAAAGCCGGCAATGTGACTTTTGGACAATTATTGGTAAATCAGAAAAACGAATTATTGACTTTGTATTCCATTGGCAGTCACAAAACTCTTCTGAACGACATCTTAGATAAATAACAGGATAAGTATTAACCTTTATTTAATGCAGGTTTTGAACCGTATTCTTTGAAGGAGACGATTATATTCAAATCAATCTGTATTGACATATCAATAACATTTTTTTGTCCAAATGCACAGATTAAACATGANATCAGAAAAACGAATTATTGACTTTGTATTCCATTGGCAGTCACAAAACTCTTCTGAACGACATCTTAGATAAATAACAGGATAAGTATTAACCTTTATTTAATGCAGGTTTTGAACCGTATTCTTTGAAGGAGACGATTATATTCAAATCAATCTGTATTGACATATCAATAACATTTTTTTGTCCAAATGCACAGATAAAACATGATAATAGAAGACTCAAATGTCCGAAATGTTTGTAGCGGGAGCATTGAGAAACTTTATATAGTTGCAAGATTGTTTAGAGGTAGAATAAGGATGGTGTAGACATACAGAACTGCCTACAAGCCCAGATAGGTAAATAGACGCATAAGTTATTAACGTAAGTAGTGCGTCACATCTGCCGTGAACCTTCTTTCCGTAGTCTATGGTAGGATAGTCTTTTTATATTACAATTGACACTTCAAACTCATGTTTCGAGGAGAATAGTGGTATTCATGTTGTGATGATGTTATCAATAACAATCAAAGAAATATTAGTAGTCCCCCGGTAGTCGAAATTATAATTACATAATTAACTTATAACTACATAATTGTAATTATAAGTTTAAACATTATTATGGATCTATTATTAAAGACCTAATATACTTTTACAATATTAATTTATTCTCAATTTGACCACAGAATTTAACAATAAACAAGAGTTTATATGCGTGTGTGTGTGTCAGATACATGTTTTTTTATTGATTAATGTATTTTTATGCGTAATTATAAAAAAAGTATTAACATTCTGCAATCCTTCTCTATTTTCTCTATAAGTGTGGGAAATTTCATTTTCCTCCGTCCGCGCAATATTAGGACATAGAAAGGGGTTCAAAGTTTTTGCTTCACGTATTAATATAAAGATTCGTTAAAACGAATATTGAAAAACATTAGAAAGAGACAAACATATAGTTCTCATCACTAGTTGTATGAGTATAAATGAGTTATTTTTCGTTAGACTTGTTTTTTTCTTGTTGTACTCACCACACAGCCTTCGTAGTGGGTTTGTCGATACCGTATTTTCGATTCAAATCTATGAATTCGCCCCATTTGATAGGATTCTGGGCTCCGGACACATAATTATAGATCGGTATGTGCGATGTTTGACTGAAAATAAAAAGAAAAAGAAAATACAATTATCTTCTCTGTTATAATCATAGACCTATATAGTAGGGACACGACATATTGTTCTATACGTACAATTGCTTGTATAAATAGCACCCATTTTGAAGGCACATACATAAACATATATCTATCTCGTTCTTACTCAGCACTTTAACTCGCAGGAAAACAATATAACAGTATTTCAGTGCGTACATAAAATGAAACATGAATATACGTAAATATCTCCGTCTCCGTCTAATGAGGCCGAAAATCCGCCATGTTTAGCGCGCCAAATGTCATAGTCACGTCAGTTCGGCCGTCTGTTTTGGGTTGTACATTATTTATTGACTTTGATATCGATTTAATATGATTGATTATATAAAATTTCATAATTTATCATGCTTAAAACATACAAAAATAATAATTAAAACGTATTTTATAGGATCTCAAGAAAGTCGATGCCCTAAAACTATTATCTATATGTATTTAAATTCATTATGGAGCCCTCATCCGAAAAATCCATTTTTCGGTCGGAATCTATTGATCATGACACTAATCATAAATACCACTTTAAAATATGTCATCAAAACATATTTAGACATTCTGTTTAGATATTTCGGGAAAAAGGCTACCGACAAAATCTCTTCGGAACTATTTAAATAAAATAGTTTTATTCCGCAGTGAGTAAAACACTATTGTAAATTTGTTAAATATTTAATAATTAAGTGATTTTAGAGAGGAAGTCACAAGGAATGACGTTTGTAATTAATGAATAAATGTTCTGTAGGTGTTTTTTTTTTCACGCGGTCCCTTGATAAGTTTAAAATTTGAATCACTCTCAAGCGAAAGTGATTCAAATGGTGCGGCGCACCTTCCTTGGGGTGCGCTGCGGTAGTATGTTACGGACTTTAGAGTCAGCAAAACAATTAAAATAGATTGTAATAGTCTAAGAAAAACACGTACTCAAAATACGATAACATTTAGCATGCTAGAAATGGGCTGATGGCTTTGAACTACGCCATATCTTTATGTTTTGCGACAAACGACAACTTTATAAAATCAGTGTAGCAACTTTTAAAAATCATCATATCGTTTACTTGGCAAATTCGAAGGACGAACTTGTCTTAGATTTCACCCATCTAAATCATATCATATTTGCACATAACAATATACCTACTTACTTCCCATTAAAGTATAAATTCTACAAATAAATAATACTCAACAATATTTAAAATAAAATGAGCCAAGAACGTTTATCGATAAAACCTGATAACATTGAAATCTTTTGTACAGCACTAAAGCCGCCATGTTTTGTGGCCAGATGACGTCACAGTGGCACGAAATTTTGGTTGACGTTTCATTTCCATAGGTTTCCTACTTCATTGGTTATAATGAACGCGCTCGAATGGAACTTAACGTCAACTGTCAAATAATCGTCTGACATGAAGAGTCCTACGGGAACACCAAAAAAATTTCCGACATTATATTCATTTTTTTTCCCTACCTATGCTGATAGCTTTGAGAGGCTATTTCAGCTTCGCCCTAACATGTAGGTGAGCTCACAGGGCTCAAACCGTTGTTAACACTGGCCCTAGCAAGAGCAGTGCTTCGCAGAATCTACCAGCGCATCGGAAACGCGCCCCGCTGAGAAGATCCGGCGAGAAACTCAGCGGGCTGTGTCTATCGGTTAATTCACTCGAGCCCTTCATCGCAAGCGACGGGTTTGACGAGGACGGTGACCGGTGCTTGTGGTACCTAAAAGGGCTCTTAATGAATCGGGAGGGTCCGTAATGGCGTTTTGGGCGACGTCGACTATTTACCATTCAGTCTACAGGATCGGGTATGTAATTCCCAGCGGCCACGACTAGAGGGTTGTTACATTAATTTGCCTTCATTTATTTATATACTTTTATGGTGTGTTTACTACACTTTAACAATTTGGTTTTTTCCCTACCTATTCGCTGGTAGCCTAAGGGGCTATTCCAGCAATGCGCGTATAGTTAGGTAAGCTCACGGGCTCGACCTGAGAGAATTTGCTAACACGAGCCCTAGCAGGGCTTCCCAGAATCTATCACCGCATCGGAATAGTGACCCACTGAGAAGATCCAGTGAGTAGCCGAGCGGATTAACTTCTATGTTTATGTGAACGAGTACGCTTCGATTCGTAAATATTTCGGGTTTAATTTTGTTGTTAAAGCTTCTAGGGGCGGCGAGAGCCATCTCTCGGTGAATAGCGATGCTAGTTAATAACGCCATCTAGTAGACAGGAAATCAACGTAATAGATACATTTAAGGGTAGCAGCACCTTCATGATTTTTCGCGATTCGTAGAAGTAATTAAAAATGATTTTAAGGTTTGGTTCGATCGTCACTTCGTATTCGCATCATCTATGCAATAAAATTATAAAAAAATAATTTACGAAAATACTAATGAGCATACTTCTCTTTGAAGTTCTTAGCGGTGTGCCACGCCGAAACCAGTATGGCGTTCACGGTGTAGTCCACGGGGACCATGTCGGCTACCTTCTCTAAGTCCATGTACATAGTGCGTAGAACCTGAACAAAACAAAGCATTTTGTGCTTACTATCGAGTTTTGCATTCCATTGCGGAGTAGTGCGGAGTGCGTTTGTAGGCAGCGGCTTGGCTCTGCCCCTGGCATTGCTGAAGTCCACGGGCGACGGTAACCACTTACCATCAGGTGGGCCGTATGCTCGTCTGACTACAAGGGCAAAAAAAAGATTCGTTTTCGCTGAAATAGACAATTTGACGTGCAAGTAGGTATAGGGCCCTATTCAAGCAGTGCGCGTCTGGTATCGACCGCAGTAATTCATCCCTGGTTATCCCGGGTGGGGATCGACTTGGGAGAGACTCGTTTAGTGGGGGGCCGCTATCACATTGGCCGATTTGCATACGAGGCGCGCTCCCTCAGCTCGGGTATCTAGGATTTCCGGCTAAAAGTCTGATGCCGTGTGCTATAACTAATGTCCTAATGGACAAATATCTACTCTTAACGTCTGCGCCCAAGCAGTTCCTACTCACCCCTGTGCCGATGCCCACGACGAGCCCCGTGGGACCGTACACGCTGTCCGTCCAGCCGCGCACCGGCTCCTCATACGTAGACACAACTGTAAGACACAATGCAGGATGCGTTTGACTGAAAAGCTTGGCTTGTTTTTTTTTATTGCTTATATGGGTGGACGAGCTCACAGCCCACTAAGTGATTACTGGAGCCCATAGACATCTACAACGCAAATGCGCCACCCACCTTGAGATATAAGTTCTAAGGTCTCAAGTATAATTACAACGGCTGCCCCACCCTTCAAACCGAAACGCATTACTGCTTCACGGCAGAAATGGGCAGGGTGATGGTACCTACCCGTGCGGACTTACAAGAGGTCCTACCACCAGTGGTGTATATCTATCTACATGTATACCTGAATCTTTGAACGCGATTTTGGGCCACTTTAAGGCGTCACATTGAATTGAAACTTGGCACAGTTTGGGAGGACCAATGACAAAAGAATAATTTAATAATATTATCCGGTTGCCATCGTCAGGATCATCAGGGTTATAATGAAGGACGGTCAAAACGATGTTAGGTCTGGTTATCCAATTGCTTATACGTGTCTGCTAAACTATAATCTCCATCAAAAACTTAGGTTAGAGGTATGACAGAACCTGGATAGAAGAATTCGATTGCTCTTCGTGAGCGAGTACGAGCTCAACCCGAAGGATTTGCTTATAGCTGCAATGCGAATGCATCTACTACCGGATCGGAATCGCAACCCTCTGAGAAGATCCCGCGAGAAACTCAACCGGTCGATGTCATAAGTCGCAGTAGACATAGGCAACTTTCAAAATGTAGCTTACCTATGGATGGTCTTAAAATACAAATAGGCAGTCCTTCTCCGTATCTCCTCACCGCCTCTTCAGCGACTGCCTTCGTGAAGCAATATGTGTTTGGTCTTTTGCCGAGGAGACTGCGAAATGATAGATTTTTTTAAGCTTGATGGGCAGGCTAGTTGACGACCTCACGCTAATACTGCCATCCACCTTGAGACACCAGGTTGAAAGCCAACGGTAATTCCACACTTGGGAGCGGAAGGCGGAACCCACTTGTATAATAGATTTAAACAATCGAAGCCATTAAATTTCCTATCCAGTATAGGCTAATCTAAGTCTACATTCAGTAGGTATTCGCAGTCACAATATAGTGTTTCATTAGAAAGATTAGTACCCGTCTGTGAAATTGGAACGCCGGCACAGTCGCCTCGCTCGATGCGAGTGTACTGAGCTCTCGAAAAATGTTACCAGAGTCAGTGCCGCCATAAATTGGGAAACGTCGTGTTCTTCAGGTCGGAACTTATAGAGACTCCACGCAAAAAAGGAGCCAGTGCGGCCACTTAAACTAGGACACCGGCTTTACATTTCAAACCATGAAGACACACTCACGTAGGCAGTATGCTATTGATCAGTTCATCGTCTAGCTCCGAAACAGCCTCCAAAGTCTCCACCGACATCGGAGAGTCGTAGAACCTGGAGAACAAAAGAAATCAAGGTCTTAGAATTAGCACACTGAGCCAGGATCTCGTCCTCTGTATCGAAAACACATTTAGGATATGGAGACATAGTTTTTATAGCGTTTTTTTGTGATAAGGGATTACTGGTGGCCCGAAGGCTTTTCCAGTTTCAGCAGGACAGTTGAGCTAGCAAAGGCTCAGCCAGGAGGGGTGTTAATCTGGTACCGAGTCTGATGTTAAGGGTTTACCGAAGCTCATTGACATTCTCAACGTAAATACCGCCTCCCATTTTGAGATATGAGTTCTAAGTATCAACTCCTGCGCCACTCTTCTAGGTGGAACGCCATTACTGCTTGGCGGCAGATTAATGCTTTAAAAGGTCTAGTTAATGATACATTAGATCAAATTTAATTAGATAGTAACTTACATATGTGGGTGTGAGTGTGAGTGTGAGTGTGAGTGAGAGTGAGAGTGAGAGTGAGAGTGAGAGTGAGAGTGAGAGTGAGAGTGAGAGATAGAGAGAGTGAGAGTGAGAGTGAGAGTGAGAGTGAGAGTGAGAGTGAGAGTGAGAGTGAGAGTGAGAGTGTGTGCGTGTGTGTTCGTGTGCGTGTGTGTGCGTGTGTGTGTGCGAGTGTGTGCGTGTNTGTGTGTGTGTGGTGTGTGTGTGTGTGCGTGTGTGTGTGTGTGTGTGTGTGTGTGTGTGTGTGTGTGTGTGTGTGTGTGTGTGTGTGTGTGTGTGTGTGTGTGTGTTGAGATGACGGCTGATAGAGGAGAATGGAATAGAATAATTCGCTGTGCCGACCCCACCTAGTCGGATAAAGTGGAGATAAAGAAAGAAGAAGAATATGATGAAGCTCGTACTTCTCTTCGATGTGTTTGACTTGCGTATTCGAGAAGGCGGTCGAGACATGGGTAACCGCCTTCAAGTTCCTGCACTCCTTGGCGAGTTTCAGGACTTCCTTGGTTCCTTTAACGTTGATCGCGGTCGCGATGCTCAGCTTCTCGTCAAATTTGACGGTGGCAGCTGCATTAATTATAATTGTCACCTGAAAACGATGAGCATTGTTGAGCCAAAGTCTTAATGGTACAACAGCCGCTCGAGCTATTAAGCTGGATCGCCTAATTTAATCCGTAGTAGAAGCAGACAGTGTTAATGTTACATATATTTTTTTTATTTTTTTTATTGCTTAGATGGATAGACGAGCTCACAGCCCACCTGACGCTAAGTGGTCACTGGAGCCCATAGACATCTACAACGTAAATGCGCCATCCACCTCGAGATATAAGCTCTAAGGTCTCAATATAGTTACAACGGCTACCCCACCCTTCGAACCGAAACGCATTACTGCTTCACGGCGGAAATAGGCGGGGTGGTGGTACCTACCCGTGCGGACTCCCAAGAGGTCCTACCACCAGTGAAAATGAATATATTATCGTCGTTGTCAAACCAAAATCTGCTATGTGCACTTTTTGAGATTTTTACTTTTTGACGTTTTCGTAACACTTTTTTTTACAATAAAATAATTTTTTCTTACACTATTTGTAATTAAATTTAAAATTTATTTTTTATTTTTAAGTTGGATTTTCTATAAAAGCGTATTTTGTTAGTTTTTTTTAAACTATTATTTATTTTTCATTTTTTAGTTGAATTTAAATTTTTCAATATTTTTTTCAATTTTTGTTTATTAATACTGAATGGTCATCGGTCTTTAATAAGTATACTAAATGTCGAGTTAATCCGACGTTTTGTAGGGAGTTAAAATCACGTTCAAAAATTCCGTTACATACATACGTCTGAAGCTAATAAAAGCGTATTAAAAACATTACACACTACCATGTATTTGACACGCACACGCAATATAGTCTTTTGTTTATTGTTTAAAGTCTGTAGTCAAATTGAGAATAGATTAACATTTTTTGTCTTTAATATTATTTATCTATAGTGTAGTTTTGGCGAAATCCAAGTGATCATGTTAGAAGTATACTTAATAGTGTTGGACAATAAAACCATAATAATGATTAAACATATAATTTCCCCTCAATATAGTCGAATTTCGTCTAGATACCGCGGGACCACTAGTTTAGTAAAATTATTAGGCGTTCGCATTGTTGCAAACGAAGTTGGGTCAACGAACGTGCGCTATACATTGCGCGCTGATTTTTGTCAATATTTTTCGATCGTTTTTGGAACGAAGTTTTGGTACGAAGTTCCTTATGGGACGATGCGGAGGGGGGTACCGGGAAAAAACGTCCGTAACGTAAGATTTTTATTATTTATGTATAGTCTTAGTATGATGGCTATACAATGTCTATTCATATAGCTGTTTCTTTGTATATTAAGATTATATATTTTTTATAAATCATTGTGAATAAAATAAAGTTATAACTTTGTAAAGTAGTTTTTTTTATCAATAAACAAATCATTATAAAAAATGTATACCCGAATCATTATTTTCTTTATACCTCGAATATAACTAAAAATTAATATTTTTATATTAAGAAACTTCGTTCCTATCCGGTGTCCCACGACACCTTTTTTTTCGCTCACCTTGCTGACCAGGGTCTTCCTGTCCTCGTCGCTTATGCCCAGCCCAGGAAGCGTCATGTCACCGTAAATGGGGACAACCTTGTGTACGCTCTTAGGCTTCTCATTGTGCGCTCTCTGGAACAGCTGCAAGCATATTTTATTAATGGTAGGACCTCTTGTGAGTCCGCACGGGTAGGTACCACCGCTATGCCTGTTTCTGAAGCAGTAATGCGATTCGGTTCGAAGGATGGGGCGGCCGTTGTTACTATACTGAGTCTTTGGAAGTTATATCTCAAGGTGGTTGGCGCATTTACGTTGTAAATGTCTATGTTCTCCGGTAACCACTTAACACCAGATGGGCTGTGAGCTCGTCCTCTATAGTCACTGAATAGAAATAGTTTGGAACAAATTAGGCACGGTCATCCTGCCCTAATGTAGGAATTCCTGTGTTATGAGCACCAGAGACTGACATACATACTTATATACATTTACATATATACATATATAGATAATAAACACTCAGACAAAGAACAAACAAATCTGCTCAACACACAATGTTTAGTTTATTTATTTTTTTGTTCAGTAATTTATATATTTGAAAAAATATTAACTAATCAGGTTTATAGAGATACGCCTATTATCTAGGCGAATTAAGCCTACTGAGTTTATCGCCGGATCTTTTTAGTGGATTGCGATTCCGATCCGGTGGTAGATTCAGTGAAGCACTACTCTTGTTAGGGCTAGTGTTCGCAAATTCTCTCAGGTTGAGCCCGTGAGCTCACCTACCAGTCTGCGCGTAGCTGGGATAGCCTCTTAAACTATAAGCGAATATGTAGAGGAAATGTTTCTTACGAAATCATCAAGGATGTCGTGCACCCTGTCCCTTGGGTCCTTGCCCCTCTTGTTTCGAACGAGCACGTAGACGGTGTCGACATCTGAACACGAGCGCAGCAACTTTTCAATCAAAACTGGAACAAATAGTACGTAAGTTTGAAAAGAGATGTCGCTGTAATCAATTTCATAAAAGTAATATAATTGAGAACTATGGAGGGTAGAGAGATAAGGAGAACCGTCTCATATGGGATAAGCTTGAAAAAGTGTCTCACTTTCAATACTAAATAAAATAACAGTTCAAAAATCCTGCAGAATGGCGCTAGCTTATGCATATGATATGAATTGAGCAGTTGTTAACTGATTGAAGTCTGCTGAGTTAGGAAATTTAATATATTTAATGACCAGAGTAGTTAGTCATATGTTTACGTAGTCCAAACTAATTTCGTCAATATCAACTAAAATTATTGCTGTGGTAAAACGTGGAGACATAGATTGCATTCTCTTATCAGCTTTAAATATAAAACTTTTTGTGATTTTGTAGTGCTTACAGTTCTTTCATCCTTTTTTATCTTCCTTCTCTATCTTATTCTTATAACATTCAGAGCCTTTTTTTAAATTTACCCGGTTGCTACTGTAGCGCCACCCTTATTTAGCATATTTGCTTATTTAGCTTAAGTAACGTGAAGTAACGTGATTCGTTGTAAATGGTTTTGACATCATATCCGTTTGTTACGGTTTTTCCCAACCCTTTAACTCGGATGACAAGATTTTGTTCTAACCTTTTTGCGTGACTGACGCACAAACAGTGCAGGCCAAGAAATGAAAAAAAAAATTTTGTTTGTTTCAATTCAAATTGGCGTCGTTTAAGACTATCAAATCGAGACCCTTAGTGTAGAAGTGAATAGAATTTGCAATAATTTTTTTAACACTATGCTTAAATTTAATATTATAATATATATGTCGCATATTGGACACGATAAACGAAGCGAAAGCGCGTCATCTAGTGAATGTGAGTCGCAACTACTCGCCAAACATCGGCTCACTTCGGCGTGCTGTGGCAGAGTCGAGATGTCATCGCACTGGTTGAATAGAACCTCATTCCATAGATAATACACATAAATTAGTTATAGATAAGCAACTCGAGCACTCAACAAAAATGTTTACGGGCGTCGGCCACTAGGTGGGTTAGTTTCTCATTGCTTCCGTAGGCGGCAGTAACATATTACCTATCCTATATTTTATTTTTAATGAAGTATTTTGTAAATTTTCAGAAACCGCAAATTGATAAAGTTTAATCAATTGTACGTATGATTTATATTTTTTTTATTTTCTGTGTTTAGTTATACAATAATTAAACGGCTTAACTTTAACAACATATAAGTTTAGGGGCATCCGCTACAAGATGTCGCTAGTTGACATACAAACAAAAAATATTTGTCTTAAAGTATCGCAGTTTCAGAGCCCTGGTCACCGTTTTGTGCTGCGCAATCTATTTACACGACTACCCACCATACGCCCACTATGTCGAGAAATAATGAAGATCCCTGCCCATTCTGCCCATTCACAGTCGTCGTGGCCTAACGGATAAGACGTCCGGTGCATTCGTGTTGAGCGATGCACCGGTGTTCGAATCCCGCAGGCGTATACCAATTTTCTAATGAAATACGTACTTAACGAATGTTCACGATTGACTTCCACGGTGAAGGAATAACCTCGTGTACATAGACGGCACTGAAAATTTCGGGAATTAACGAAGTGACACAACATTACTATTTAAAAATGTATTTATTGCTTTTCGAAGTATTTTCCGCGAAATTTGACACATTTTTCCATACGATGGAACCAATCATTGAAGCAACCATTCCATTCGGAAGTTGCGGTCTCCAAAGTGGCCGTTTTGTAGGCGCCCACAGCTTCTTCAGGTGATGAAAATCTCTGTCCACGCAATTTATTCTTTATTTTAGGGAAAGTATAGAAATGATTAGGGCTTAGGTCGGGGCTGTACGGCGGATGGTCTAATAATTCTATGTTTTCTTGCTCTAAAAACTTTTTTGTTCTGTGCGCGGTGTGAGAACTCGCATTGTCGTGATGGAGGATGATGCGGCGGTTGCAGTTCTCTTTACGGAGTTCAGAAACGACCTGTGGCAAACAAATGCTAGCATACCATTCTGCATTAACCGTCCTTTGTCCCTCAAGAGGAATAGTCGTAACATGGCCGGTTTTGGCGACAAACGTGGCCACCATTTTTTTGCAACACTCCGTGAACGAACAATTTTTGTTGGCTTTAACTCATTTTCGAACACCCAAACTCGTGACTGGTTTTTTGTTTCGGGATCGTACGCGTATATCCAGGATTCGTCACCTGATACAATGTTGTATACAGCATTTGAGGATTCCTGCGTGGAATCTTTCGAGAGTTCTGACGCACCAAGTAACGCGAGCCGCTTTTTGCTCTTCACAGAGCGAATGCGGTATCCATCGGGAAAACAACTTTTTTACACCTAATTGTTCATGAAAGATTATTTGTATTTGACTCATGCCAATGTCTAAAGTTGCCTGAATTTCGCGGTATGTCACATGTCGATCTTCCTCAATCAGCTTACGCACAGCATCAACGTTTTCTTGGGTGACTGCAGTTTTTGGACGACCTTGACGGGGATCATCACTGAGCTTGACACGTCCACGTTGAAACTCAGCAAACCAGCGATNAGATTATTTGTATTTGACTCATGCCAATGTCTAAAGTTGCCTGAATTTCGCGGTATGTCACATGTCGATCTTCCTCAATCAGCTTACGCACAGCATCAACGTTTTCTTGGGTGACTGCAGTTTTTGGACGACCTTGACGGGGATCATCACTGAGCTTGACACGTCCACGTTGAAACTCAGCAAACCAGCGATAAATTGTGGTTTTTGTAATGTTTGGGTTCTTTATAAATGACAAACGTTACGATTGGGCTTACATTTTTATTTTGTTAATCACAATCATTCACAGTTTTTTACTTGCGTGTAACATGTACGTCGTAGACAATATGGCGGGGGAGTCATAGAGTATGTTTCGTAGAGTGGTCAGCAAAGATTAATGTTATGAGAATCGACATTAGGTCGCATATACGTTACAGTTTTGGATGGGGCTTCATCACCAAATGCAGAAATCATCCGGTCAACACACTGTTTTTGTGTTAAACCACTTCGAAAGTCATAATAAATCATCGCTCTTGAATTTTCTCGAGTCAATTCCATTTTCTCAACGACTAAACAAGTTTGACAAAACCTCGTGACATGACCGAGAATCTTTTTTTAAATAAATAAATGGTATTCGATTTTTAAAACCAAGGAGTTTTCAATTAAAAAGATTTTAATATGACAGGAACAGTGCAAATATTCCATTCCCGATACTTTTAGTGCAGCCCTCGTATAAAACTCAAACCCGCAAAATTATAATTTGCGTAATTACTGGTGGTAGGACAGCTTCTGAGTCTGCACGGGTAGGTACCAGGTGTAACTATACTGAGACCTTAGAACTTATATCTCAAGGTAAGTGGCGCATTTATGTTGTAGATGTCTATAGGCTCCAGTAACCACTTAACGCCAGGTGGACTGTGAGCTCGTCCACCCGGCTAAGCAATAAAAAAAAAACATTCCTAAAAAAAAAAAACTTAATCAAAATAAAGACATCTCCAATTGATGTTTGACGCGTCCTTTATGTATGATAATGAGCAGAATTAAATCCGTTATAACATTATTGATGCTTAACAAAACACGTTGTTTTTAACCTTGAGCAACCGACTCACAGGTTTTATGGTCAATAATTTAGCTCACAACGAATCAACTTAGCAAAAATCTTTTTTGTTTTCTTCTATATTTAGCTAATGAATTGAATTTAATTAAAACGAACAAAATGAATTTAGTAAAAAAAAAGTACCCATGTCAGAAGTGAAACTTTTTTGGCGAACTAATTTATAAGTCTTGCTTATATTTATACAAATCTAAAACTTTAGATTTCCGAGACTTAGAGGAAGGGAAAAAGGAAGATATGTTCCCGCCAAAAGTCTGTCAAATGTCAATCTCAAACCTCAGTGTTGACAGTCACATTATGTTTAGATTTCTAAATTGTAAATGACTAATATTTTNGAAGTGAAACTTTTTTGGCGAACTAATTTATAAGTCTTGCTTATATTTATACAAATCTAAAACTTTAGATTTCCGAGACTTAGAGGAAGGGAAAAAGGAAGATATGTTCCCGCCAAAAGTCTGTCAAATGTCAATCTCAAACCTCAGTGTTGACAGTCACATTATGTTTAGATTTCTAAATTGTAAATGACTAATATTTTACCAATTGAATTGACTAATTTAATTTCATGCTATTTGATTAATGTTCCAAATTCTTTTCATTTCATTTCAATTCCTATTAACATTTTTCACAAAAAAATTATAAAATATTAGGCTGTATGGTATGATACATTTGCCTTTCCAGTTAGAAAAATACAACAACAACTAACTGACATTTGACAAGTACTTAATTTCAATAGTAGTTTGATGTCATTTCCGTTGCATACCTGCGTGACGTTCTGTAAAAATTTTACCCTCGTAAGAATACGCGCCTAAAGAAGTTTCACTTCAATAATTAATGATACCAAAAAATAAAACATAATCTAAATTTACATCTGTGCTCTTTGCTGTCGAGTAATTTTATAATTGACTAGCTTTTCCCCGCGATTCCGTCCGCGTGGAATAATTACTTTGGCATAAAGCTAAATTTTAGCCCCAACTTCATTTACGTAGAAAGTGAAAATATTTTGAAACATTCTTTATTGGGCCTGCACTTGTATCAGTCTCATGGTGCTATATAGCCTATAGCTTTCCTCGATAAATGGGCTATCTAACACTGAAAGAATTTTTCAAATCGGACCAGTAGCTCCTGAGATTAGCGCGTTCAAACAAACAAACTCTTCAGCTTTATAATATTAATATAGATGTATACAAAATTATCGAAACAAAAAAATATATGTACATATTTAACGAGGGGTAATGTTAGCATGTAAAGCATGTTTGGTTTAGCAACATTTCTGCAACTTCCAAGGAGACAAAGCCAAAGGAGTAATTTTTATTTGTGTGTGTGTGTTTTTTTATT